GAGAGAGAGAGTGAATTCTAATATATGAGTTGTGTATTCAAGGCGTGGTTTACAAATGGAGAAAGGAGTGCTATTTATAGCATCAATAAATCCTAGACAGGAACACGTGTCAAGCATCTGACGGCCGATGGTCACCTCAATCGGGGTGGCACCGGCATTCGCATGTGGCCGCATTAAATGCGGTGGTTGGATGTGACGTTGTACTTGATACGGCGATTCAGGCGCATGCGGAGAGGATATTCTGTCGATGAGGATGCCTTCAGCTGTAGATGACAGACCGGGGGCCTCCTAGTACCTAGGGCTCCTAGTGCCGATGGCTACTGATTTCGCCGTTTTCTCTGAGTAGCTTCGTATGCCCATAATCAATTGTCCCGTGAGATTTTGGCGCCTTTAGCCAGGGGACCGAAGGCGAATATATGTGTGCTGTGGGCTTCTTGTTACTTGGAGCCGTTGTGATTTGGGCTTGTTGCGTGTCTTGGGCCAGTTGGGCATGTGTTAGAATAGTAGGAGTCTATGGGCCGGGGTTCCTGGGCCATATACTCCATCAACAATAAATGTATAAAAATTATAGAAGTCAAAAATAATAAATAAAATGTTATTAAAATACATAAACTAAAGTAAAATAAAAAGGAAAAAGTACAAAAAAACTCGAAACTTATAAATTGAGAAAAAAAATTATAAACAAATATGTAAAATCAGATAAAAAATTTTGGAACCGTTTTAAAATATGAAAAGTAGCTATAAATCTATATGGAATAGTATATTATTTTAAATCGATAGATATACAGTTTAAAAATCATCAAAAACATTAAAAATTAATAAAAACATTTTGATAGCATTTAAAAATTCAAATAAATATATAATATTTTGAAAAAAATTGAAAACATGAAATTAAATTTTTTATAAGTAAAATAAAAAAATAGAAAATTAAATTCTTAAAAATATTTTAAAGTAAAAAACGTATAAATGGTATAAAGTTAAAAACAAAAATATAAAAAAAGAAATTATAAAAAAAATAAAATTGGATTTTTTTTTTATAAATTTCTTATTTAAAATTCTAAATATGGTTACACAAGTGTAATAATTATTAATTGTTACATATTGTTCTTTGAGTTTTTTGTATTTCTTTTTATTAATTACTTGCAGTTTTTTGTTTTGTTTTTTATTGTTTCACAGTGTTTCAAATTCAAATTTATCATTTTAGGTGTTTGTAGGTATATGTGATTATGAGTTTTTCCATCAAATATATAGCTGATGCAATGCAACAAAAAGCAAAAAGATGCAACAAAAAGCAAAAAAAAATGCAACAAAAAGCAACAACATGCAACAAAAAGAAACAAGATGCAACAAAAAGCAAAAGGATGCAACAAAAAGCAAAAAGATGCAACAAAAATAAAAAAAAATGCAACAAAAAGCAACATGCAACAAAAAGAAACAAGATGCAACAAAAAGCAACATGTGCATAATAACAATAAGCAACAAAAAAAGCATATGAAAGCTTTACAACAAATGTATATTTCAATCTACTACATTTATCTATAATAACATTTGACTTGGTTCTTCTACTTCCATCTATTTTGCATCTTTATACACAATCCATCAAGTTTGTATCTCTTTTCTTCATTTCTTTGTATATCTTCTCACCTTCAGCATCTTCATGAAAATATTTTCTTAGAATGTGCCTCCGATGAGAACGTGATCATTAAGACACGAACTCATAATGCTTTATTACCAAAAACCAACATCATGTACTAGTCTTGGTTTAAAACATGCTCGATTACCTACATCATGTAATAGTTACATCAGAGAGCGCCATCATAGTAAACTTTTCATAACTTAATTTCAACGTAAAAAACTAAAGGCGTTGATAGATGATCCAAATTTGACAATTGTCGGTCTGTCATGATGTGGAATAGATGCTTAAGAAGAATCCTGTCCAGAGGAACAGAAGCAACTGAATCATGGACGTGTTTTGATCTGGAAATTATGTTATCCGCTAATCTCTAAAATGTATTAGAACATTTAACTCTGAAATTTAAAAAACATAGAAAAAGACATGTCAATTCAAAAATAAAACACTTTTAGACAAAAGCAAATTGGAAAATGTAAGCAGGGAGGGCTACTTTACGTGTGCCAACGAAGTGATTAACTTACTACCTTATCACGGACTGCATATGCTGCTTGTAAGGATCTTGGTAGGGCTTAGTCAAAGATAGGGCTGCTAACAAGGTGCTGCCATTTGGGCCTTAGACCGAGAGTACCCTACGGATTTCTATTAGGAACTGAAGTCGAGTGCTTGAATTTCTACAGTACTCAATCTAATGAATCCGATACAAAACAGAGTTAACAAATAATTATACTAGTATTATAATGTAAAGAGACACTTATAATAAGGAAAACATACAAAATTAAAAGAGATAAAAATAGAAAACTGCAGTCCTAGACAAAGCACCTGATTAGAAAAATATATACCAACGATTGCAAAACTTTTTTTTACCAAAAAGAAATACTCTATATACAAATAAGTCAACAAGATATAAGAATTTTGGGATTATAATTAAAACATCAGATGTTTAGCATGCCTCATATTCTTCATGGGGTGAGAATATATTAGGTAAAATAAACTTCAAAAGGGGCCAAAGTTCTGCCAAGTTTTTCAGGAGAGGTGTTCCAGTGAATGGGAGCTTATTAGCTGCATGTAACAATATTAATATGAACACCAGATGAGTACCATGCATTTTTTATTGCAGTTTCTCTTGTGAGAAATGTGAAACCTAGTTGGGATCCAGGCTCAAACAAATGAATTAAAGGAAAGACCGAAGTCTGACATTAAATTGCAGCGCATGTTGTAACACTAATCAATTAAACTCCAAAACAAAGGCAAATCAGATACCATTCCAGTAAATTTCGCATAGAATCATTAAGGTGATTTTGAAGCATCAAATTTATTTTCCTCAGATCGATCTTTGACACGAATTAGACGATGAGCTAAGTTTCAATAAAAGATCTATATCAATTCAAATACCTCTCTGTACATGGAGTGAGAAAAATAGTGTATACCTCACTGTTGATGTTCATCTCGGAAAGCTCCGTTCGATGTTCTATGCTACTGCTTTCTATATGATGTTAGTCAAAAAAGATAAAGAAGCTAGTTTCTCCAAGAAGTGCAGGGAGTGGGGAAGAGTAATAGATCACTCTTCGAAGCTCGGAAAAAGCCACCATCCTACTGCCGTCGATCAGAAGCTATTGCCGTCAGAGGCATAGGCAGCGGACATGATTCGATCTAAGGAACTTGGTGAGACTTGGATGAATTTACATATGTATTTTTGAGAAGAAGATAGACTGGGAAGAAGATGATGCGAGACAAGTTGCTGGGAGCCTGGGAGACGGATACTCCTCCAACTTCGGATTGGAATCGGCGAGTGTGAAGCTTGATTTACCAACGCCCAACATTGATCTCCAGAGTCCCAGACAACTTCGACCGATTTAGGGGTTAGGTTTTAGTGGTCTGAGATAGCCGATAAGGGGAAGGAAACGGCAATACGAAATGGAAAGGAGGGCTGGGTAGAAATCCAGTCTAAAAGTGAAATAAAAAATTAATATTGAAAAGAGAAAAGTTAAAAATGAAAAGAAAGATCAACTAGGCCATAAATGATATTCTACACGAAAAAATAGATTGTGCGGGTAATTTGCACAAAATCTAATAGTCAGAAGTCCCCGTCAGATTGACAATTTTCTTGGTCCATACAATCTACACATGTTATGATATTTTACTTGAGAAATGGCCCGGTCCGTTGTAAAATTTTCTTCTGAGAATATGACGATTTCTTATTTTAGAGATGTAGACAAGTGCAAAAGGCCACTGTATTTGATAAATTTGGAATGAATATTTTTTCCTATTTCTATACTACAATACTCTAGTATTTTTCAAACTCACCCTTGATAATTCTCAATTAGGGGAGTGTTTGCTGTTGCTTAAAAAGGACTTCTATGTTTGCTTAAAAAGTTGAAATTATGTTTCATAATTTTAGGCAATTTTAAGTAGTTTAAAGCAAAAAATAGAAGTAATGGAATGAGTGCTTGTAAATGCTTTTTACTCTAAAACATACACAAAAACACCCGGCTACCAAATAATCTATGTTTGGCTTTTCTAAAATCACTTTTCTTTTAAGAAATTGTCCTAAATAGAAGTAAAGATTTCTCATATTCCAAAATAGGAGTCCTATATTTTTATTCCGTGACTATGGGTAATTATGGGTCAACCTGAAAATAATGCTACTCATGACAATATATAGTTATATTTAAAGCTTGATAAATGATAAATGCGAAAACATATCATTAAGTTATTGGCACTAACCTACTCCTACTTATGAGAACAAATATAATACTCCTATATTGAAATTCTGGAACGGTTTACTCTTTATTCGGGGATATCTCCTATTTTTGCAAAACTATTAACATTAACAATTAATTATGGAGTATAAATTATTTTGGAGGTAAGAGCTGGTACTCGAAATTACATTAACATGGTCAAATAAATCCTTACTGTCCGGCCATCACCATTTGGGGAGGTTCCGGTGGAATTTTTTGATGAATTTTTTTGAGTATCTTATTCATTAAGTCTAGTTTACGCATACCAAATTTCATCTAAAACTTCAATTGGGGAGACATTCAAATGAATTATTGAAAGTAACTGCGCTTTTAACTGTGCAGTTATCTTCAAGACTTTATTTGAATGCCTTCCCAATTGGAGTTTTAGCTGAAATTTGGTATGAGTAAACTAGATTTAATGAATAAGATGTCAAAAAATTTCATAAAAAAAATCCACTGGGAACCGTCCCGAATGGCGAAGACCGGACAGAACCTTCTATATAAGGACTTATTTGACCTTTTTATGCAACTTCGAGAACCAATCTGATCCTTACCTCATCATATATTTAATGGATACAACCACCGATTTCAATAATCAATAAACTTATTTTCTAAATTCTCATTATACCCTTATCCAAAGTAGCCAAAGCTGTACTTTCTAGTTTCTACTATGGCCATCAGATTTAGGCCTGACGGGGAAGGCATCGACGACGAGTGATGTATCTAGGTGATGAAAGTAAAGGAAACAGATCTGCCTTGTCTATGTTTGGTCATCCATCAGGTTCACGCAGTAAATAATGCGTAGGTGAAGAATGAGGGTATCCAAGAAGGTCTTCTTCTCCTTTAGCTTCCTTCCGTTTGTAATCTCGAGAATGCCAAAATCAGCGATCGTCTCCTTCAGCTCCCTTCGTGCGAACTTTTGGCCCAACCATCTTCACGAATAGTGTGACAGTAGACTCCAGACTCCACGATGACGACAAAATCCACAAAGTATCTCACTATCTCCCACTAAGGTGTTACCTGGAACAGTTATGGAGGCTCCGATGGGTAGGGGACGCAGTCCGGATCAGAGACGTTCGAGAAATTAGCAAAATCCATCGTGTATACGTGAACTTTCTTACGATTCGATTCCAAGGTTGGATCCATTCCGTACCATGCTATTTCGAAACGGTACGATACAATGCCAAAACAATACTATTTTTTTGAAAGAAACGTACAATTAGTAAATTCACCACACCGATCAGTTTACATGAAATGTTGCAAATACTCAAATAGTTCAACACACTTGATGAAAAATATAGCAAAACAATAATACATCAGATATACACCATCTTCATTAAATTCACGCGCAAACATAAAAGAATGTCATCATATTGTTGAATATTATAGAAAAACCCTCCATCATTCTTCTTTGTTCTAAGTTGAATATTAATTCAAATTCATAATTGCAATGTGGAAGCTAAGATTTAAATCGTATTACATATTAATTTAGTCTTTTTGTTTGTTACAAAACTACACAAATATGATACTTTGTACAACAAATAGTCATACACACTACATTACTACAAGTTAGTGGTCATTAATTATTTTTAAAACTTTAGCATTCTATACATGTATACCAAAATATAACATAAATTATCTAAAAGAAAATAATAACATGATTTATATGAACACACACATTTTGCTATTTTAATGACAACGAAACCATATTTGGGCTATAAAATTATTGGTCTAAATAAGATATTTATGGGATGAAAAATTTATAAAAATCTCACATGTATTAATTTTGAACGGTCCAGTCCGGTATTGTTCGGTTCTCAAAATCTAGAACCAGTTTCTTACCCGTTTCAAATAGTACAGTTTCGATTTGAGATAAAATTCTATAGAATTGTTTAAATACCCAAAATTTAACTTGGTACCATTACGAGCCGGTTCGTTACCAGTTCGGTTCGGTTTTATGCCCACCCTACCGATGAGTTCGAGCATGCTCCTCAGCTTGCTGGAGTCTGGCCCATCTCATTCTCATTCAACTATTCTAGAATGCTTCTGGACCCTTCTCGCTTTCCTCACCTATTTCATCCACATTTATGTAATTAACTGCAAGGGTAATTTAGATATTTGAATTGTTTTATTTAGTAGTATTTAATTTATTTATTGACTCTAAATAATAGTTTGGGGGTTTGAATAGAATTATCCATAGAGCGGGAGTGAACGCATTCGTGCCTTAAGGTTTTGGAGCCGCGCTAGAGCGTCGGCTAGGGCTTTGGAGATGCGCAAAGTCTTCGCCGATTGGTTTTTGCATAGCTTCTCCAACGAGAGAGCAGCGAGGAGATGAAGGGCAACACAATAGGTGAGATGCAAACTTTGGTCGGAAGAAATAAGGGCATATTTGTGCCAATCATGATGAACGGCAATGCAAGAGACATAAAGATGATGAAGACAATAAGCGATGACAAGATGAATAAGGAAGACGAGGTATTGACGGCCCCTCCCCCTCCCGAACCACCACCTTGGAGCGACCGCGGAGTCAGGGATCGGAGGCCGACGTTTCACCATTGGATTTGGTCATCGCGCTCTTGTTCTCTATTCTTCAATCATGTTTTTTTGCTATCTCGTACTTTTTTATTTCGTTAATAATTGAGAGTTGTGAGTGCTTTTAATTTTTAGAATGCGTGGAAGCAATCAAGCTAATGTAGTCGATAATAGCTTCGAATCTCTCTCATGTTAAGAGATTAGTCCCGCTTAGTGTTAAATAGTGTATTCTATGTCTGATTAGGTAGTGAGAAAACCTATTGACTATATAGTGTGTAGAGAAAAGTTTTGAATAGATGATAAGCATAATGGTTGGTTGTTGTTTTGTACTACCTCCGTCCCACTATGTTTGAGACAAAGGAGTGTGACACAATTTTTAAGAAAAAGTGGAATTGTGTGGTTGATATTGAATTGATAAAGTGTGAATAAAGTAAGAATGAATTATAACCACCCAAATATTACCAAATATGGTATGTGACAAACTTAATGAGGCAGGCGAAAAAGGTAAGAGTTTTTTTGTCTTAAATAGGATTAAAATGATGTTTAAATTCTTAAAGAGGAGCAAGTATCTTTTATTCCCTAACTAGGACCATTATTCCAATTTTACCCCCTCCAATCAATTTTAACTGTGCTATTACACCAACTCAACGAGTCTGGTTGCAATTATGCGCAACAAAGAGTTGGGCGATGACGACCAAGCACCTGCAGACGGATGGAAGCAAGCAGCGACGAAGAACGGCGGCAAAGTGACGATTTGAATGGTAAGCGATTAGCGGCGGCCGGTAATCTGTTGTCTTCCTCTCTGTCTCTTCGCCGAGCTCATTTGATTTTCTGCAATTTTTTGATTTTCCGTGTGGATCTGGTTTGGCGGCAGTGGTGCCAACCCCTTGGGGTCTTCCTTGATCTGCAATCGAGTTATTTTGGTGGGTTTACGCCTCTTCTATTTTTATTTGTTTCTGAAATCAATCTCATCTTAATCGATCTGCAATCATTTTCAATTTTTGTATTCTCGTTATAATGACCTACTCCGTATGTTATTCTTCCTCAACTTTGGTTTTTAAAAAATGTGAAATTTAGTTTTAAAAATGCCATAAAATTGGCATTATTACTCTTAAAAAATGTCATTTGTTACTTTGAAAATGCCAATAATATGACATTTTTTTTGCAAAATGGCATTTTTAATAAAAGATGACATTTTATTTTAGTCATGGCATAGACAGTGGAAAATGCTGCCATCATTAACTTCCCACCATCACTGAATCGTTTATTTCTAAACACGTACATCAGTACATGGAGGTGTGAGAATGATAAGGATAAATTTGGAATGGAGAGATTAATTACTCTTATTTTGGGAAGATAGAACTTTTACTCCCATTTATGCAATTTAGCTATTATTTAGTCCTATTCAGGGAATAACCCCAAAAGGTAAAACACAAAATTAGGGCTATGTTTGGCAGACATAAATCTCTACCTTCTAGCTTTTGTATTGTTCAAAAAAACTTTAAAAGCTTCTAGTTATATGTTTGACATGACAATTTTTAAGAGTTCTTCAAAAATTAAAAGATCTTTTTTGAGATGTTACAGAGAGCAGCATCTTGAAAAAGCCCGTGACTTTTAGTATTAATTAGTCATAACAGCTTGTATACCAAACCGAACTAAATCAAACAATCACCTTTTTACTAAACAACTACCACCTTTTTTCTTTTAAGATTTTTTGAGTCACTAAAAGCTAACAGTCACTCCCTCCGTCCCATTGAACTTTGACAACTTTCCATTTTTGGTTGTCCAAAAAACTTTGACACTTTTCCAATAAAGCAACTAATTTGTGGTTCTGCACATTTCTCTCTCTTGTACACATATCTCAACCAGTTTTTAATTTACTATTTTTATTTCTTACCTACTTTGCACTTGACAAAGTACACTTGTCATACTTGTGCCAAATGTACCCTACAAAAGGGAGAGGAAGTCCATAATCACATTCCCGAGTTTCCCACACAAGTTCATAACCAGCGATAGAAGAAATATAAACAAGGCCAACAATGTCGGATTCCCTTCGGCTCCTTCTCGACCACCTCCTACTGTAAGCTCATACAGTATAATACTGCCTACCTCTTTCTCAATCCCATTTCGGCATCTAACCTCCTACTTATTTTATCCGTGGTAGATTATCCGAACGAATTGGAGATTCTCTCTCTCGAGTGACTTACACCCCGCCGGAATCTTCCAATGTCAACATCAAATCCACTGTCGAATCCCTTCTTCCCAATCGAGGCTCTCCTTCTCTCTCCGAGATCTCCGAAGTCGAAGTCTGTGCCAAAATAAGTGACTTCACGTTATGCTGTGCAGCGTTGGCTGCCGCCTCGGAGTCCACTTACGGGGAGCTCTTGTGGATCCCCGATTCTCTCTCCGAGGCCGCTGTCTCGGCCTTCAAGCAGCTCTCTGAAGCTTACTCGACCTTTCTGGGCCCGAAAAAGTGTATGAAAGTTGGCGAATTGGAGTTTGATTTGAAATTTATGTCGAGTGACGTGAGGTTACTGGTTGAGTTAATGCCTCAGGTTTTGCCTTCGCTTAAGAATAAAATAAAGGAAAGTGCCATTGACAAGTCTATTGACACTGATGAGTTTTTTGCTGCTAGCGCAAGAACTCCCGTAGCTTATGCAATTCTTGCTGCTCACCAACTCAAATGGATTGTTACCCAGGTTCGTTACTCTGATATTTGATGATATTATGCTTTTCTTTTCTTTTGGAAATATATTATGCTTTTATTACGCGTCATTGCCATTTGAGTTGTTTTTGGCTGCTTGTTTCCAGTTTTCGTGTTTAGTTTTTGGATTTGTTTAAAAACATGTGGAAATGTTTACGGGCTATAGGTGAACTATCCATTTCTGGGGAAGTTGTGCTCTTTGGTGATTCCTTGTGGACTGACGGCTCTTGATCACTGGTCACAGCAAGTAAAAGTGCGATTTGCAATTTCTTTTATTTCGTAGAAGTCTTTTTAATATACAATTCTACTCCAATATTTAGAGATTTAATGGTTTAATATCATGTATTAGATTAGATGGTGTAAAACACTGTAAAAGACAGCAACAGAACTAGGTGTAGACATATGCTTTCACACACTGTTATTCAATATGATTTGTATCAACTTTTTGTTCCAGGGGCAGGGCATGATTAGCTTCATACATCTCTCTAAAAATGCGAATGCTTCTGAGATTGGTTGGTATGAAGACGTAATTCTTGATGCCTGCTGCCAAAACATTGCTTGTTCAGATGATGAAATATGGCAATATGTTGTTGAAATGTCAGTGCTCATGTCAACTTCCACCCAGAAAAGTAATCCACGGAGCATATGGTAATGGATTTGTGCATAGCATGCGCTGTGCGAATACACTTTGCTATTTGTACCAATGTTACAGTGTAGACATTTTCATATTGCAGATGTTACTCATAATATCACGGTGGATAAGTTAATTCAAAGTTTGCCATACTGTATCTTACTTAACTTTTGTGTTGTATAAAGGTATGAAAAGCTGCTGAATGAGATGTTGAGTCACCTGGAAAGGCAGCCTAAGAATAAGGAGCGCCGCATAGCATGGCTTACACATGTTGATTCACTGTTTGGTGGTGTTGGGCTTGTACTGCTATCTCATTTTAGGCGCCTTTTTCCTCTGTTCTTTCAATGGATGCATGCCGATGATGATGACACAGTTCTATTGGTAAGACGTCATTGCATTTATTTGTACAATGGTAATTAGGAGTGATCCCTTTTCATGAAGGCCATGCCAGGTTAGGTATACCATAAGGTTGTTTGGAGGAAGGAGTTTTGAGGGGGGGGGGGGGTATAGGGGGTGGTTTTGGAGTGTTTTGTCTATATCTTGATATATACTTCCTCCGCTTTTAATCACAAGCACTTTGCTTTTGCGCTATTCACCCGTGTTACTTTGATATTTTTTTTACTTATGCATACAAACAAATCATGTTATATAAAATGTTATTAAATTTATCACCATGTAAAATTTATAAATACTAACCTCTCTTCTTTCTACAAAGCATGTTATATAAAATGTTATTAAATTTATCACCATGTAAAAGTTATAAATACAATTTTTTGAACTTTACTAATGCATAATTAACATGAAAGTCAGTACTTGCAACTAGAAAAAACAGAGGTTAGTATTTCATATTTGAGATTTTATAAAGATTGAAAGACTAACACAAATTGTGATCATACAAAATTTGAATAACATTTTATTCGTTTTTGGAAGAATTCTATTTATCAAGACACTCTAAAAGACACTCTAAAACCATCTATCCAAACAGAACATAATACAAATAAAAGTACAGAAACTTCTCAAAATAGGTGTAAAAACAATGTGAAATTCCAAAATAGGAATACAATAACGTTTCTGAGCATGACAGTAATCACTCATATTTTGCGAAAAAACGTTGTACTCGTACTTTGGAATTTTACATTTTTTTTACACCTATTTAAGGCAATTTCTGTATAAGGAATTATAAAACTAGCAAGGTATGGACAATACATACTATACATCTGGGTATTGATGGGTATAAATGGGTGCTAATTTTGGTCCTTAGCTTCAGGTACTGGAGCGTACAAAAACAGTTCTGAGATTGACATGGATAAGGAATTCGCCATACATTGACAGGTTATTAATACCTCTGAGTTATTATCACAATTAATCAATTGCATGTATATATTGTTTCCATGTTACATAGAGGCATAAACAACTAAAACAATCATAATTTTTTGTATGAAGCATTACCCAAAATTTATTCTCTGGACAAGTAGACCATTTTGTACTTAAGCTCTAGTTTGGGATGTTGATAGTTTGGTAATATAGTATGACTTGATGGTGAAGGCTTGGAGCATCAATGCTGAATGTATAGCTTAAGTAATCGGAATTTGATGATTTGTAAATTACATATTCTACTTTACTTTCAATCTAGCCACGAGCCCTTTGTGGAAGTGGCGCTTCAGTATGAATCCCAACATCTATAAAAAAAATACTCCCTCTGCCCCTTAAAACATGGCCAAGTTTGAGTGGCACGGGAATCATGCAGATGAGAGAATAAAGTAAAAACTGTGCTTGAGGTTTGTGCAGATGAGAGAATTAAGTGGAACCACAAATTCTTTACTTAAAAGGAAAGTGGCAAAGTTAGTGGGACAACCAAAAAGGAAAGTTGGTAAAGTTTTAAGAGACGGATAGAGCAGTAATTATTGGTCTGACTTTTGAAAAGCTGAACCTCACTAGGCGCGTTGTGGAGTTTTGCCTAGCCTTTAATTGAACAGTTTTTATGTGGTTGCTTAGTTTTTTTGAACTAAGTATCTAACACGGTTTTAACATATATTTCCTATTATCTAAGCATTGCAAAGATTGATTCCAACTGAACATGTGCAAACCTATGTTGTAAGAACCGCACCGGTGAGTGACCCGGACAAATGACCGGGTCACGGGTCAACGACCGGCAAACCCGGTCAACGTGAATACATATAATTATATAAATAATTAAATTCATAAATAGAAAACTTATACCCCTTCATAATTAAATATTTATAATACAATGTAAATACTGTAAAAAAACTATTGCATTAAAGTACATTTATTTTAACACAGAATTTAAAATACATTTGTGTATAGGTGGATGATAAATATGAAACATTATACCAATTATAAAATAAATAAAAAATGAAAAATAAAGATGACATACGTAATGAGGATTGAGGAATTATATAAATAGCATTTGTTTGTATGTATTATAAATTGCACTCCGTATTATAAATTAATTCATTATAAATTATAATGTTACATATTCCGAATGTATAACAATAGCTAAGCGACTTAATATCAACAAGGAGCTGGTGTAGCTCAGTGGCTGGGAACACAGGTATGTTGCGGTTGGCGTGAGTTCGAATCCCGCAGCCTACGTGTTTCTCCCGTTTTTGACATTTTCAGAGTTTGGAACGGGTTGGGTCCGTTGCGGGTCTCACCGGGTCGCCCATTAAATCCGGTTTTGACCACATTTACGGTTTGATGCCCAACCGGACCGTATAATTGGCCGGTTGACCGGGTTCCGGGTTGGAACGGCCGGTCCGGTTCGGGTCTTACAACATAGGTGCAAACACCAAAGGATAATGAATCAAAGGACCTAAAAATATTGAATAACTCAAGGATCTCCAAAATAGGAAAACAGCATCAATTATGCCACAATTCCATGTAATATGTATCCATAATTTACTTATTGTTGTGCAATATAAACTACTGTTTAAATCAAACAATGTTCTTTCAGTACAAAAACTATCATTTTAAGAAAAGACAACTTAGAACTGGCAAAATCTGGAGCCCCATGTATTAACCATAGAAAGCAAAAATTGAAAGTTACGATAGTATATTCTAATACTCCCTCCGTCCCTTTAATGACAACTTAGAACTTGCAAAATCTGAAACTATTATTTTTTCCAGTTGACTTCCTGAAATGCTCTTTTTACCGAGGGGTAAATTTTACCATATATTACACTGTTTGGCATTGTGAGGTCATTATTATTTAAGGGTAGTAGAGTAAATTGATAGAAATTTTAAATGAGGAAAAATGGCTATTTAGGGACATCCATAAAAGTAAAGTGAGAAGTTCTTTAAAGGACACAGGTAGTATAAAAGACTACTGGGATATTGCAACTTAGGGAATACATGACTATTACGGAGTATTCTTTTATACTAAATGGGAAATTCCCCAATATATCACTTGAACATTTATGCTGGCATATAAGCTGTTCTTTTTGTTTAAAGTGGATTTCCTTCTCAAATTTATTACTCCTACCAAGTAATGTTTTAAGATTTCCTCCCTTATATATTGATTGACCTGCACGTGCCTGCAGATTGGTGGATGAGCTTGTCAGTTTATACAAGGAAGCAGCAATGAGAACTCTTCGTGATGATATCAGATCACTTATTCTTGAGACACTTATATTGCTGCAGCAGTACGTATTTTGAATCTCTATGCTCTCGTCCCACATCTATATGATATTAATGTTTTGCCACCCATATTATGGGACACATACCTCTTTTTAATTTTTTCCTTTTGTTTATTTTCTTTCTGCCCACTTGTCTCCAAAGATGCAAGGGTTTACAGTTTGAAGTAGCTTGGGACAAGCATAAGAATGATCTGGATTTGACTCTTCTCCACCAATCCTTTGCCGGGAGACATACTGCAGCAGTCTGAAAATCTCACAGGTTTTGTGATGATTCTCCATTACACTGATACTTGAGTAGTTGAGTGTCATGCTTGGGTTCAGAATCCGGTGTCATTCACTTCACCAACCAGATTACCATGTTACCATTGAAGTATTTGCAACCCCTGCTTCAATGGAGTCCCTACCTCTGATTTCAGGTCTGCGGCAATTGACTATAAGAGATATATGAACCGAGAGGTGGGCGCAATTGCAAGTAGAACAATGTAAAAGGTCTCCTGTATCTACCATTATATAGCTATCTAACGTTTTTAAGAATATTAAAATAGAATTCAGGATCAACCAACCTTGTACAGAAAAAACAAGCAAAGGACATTAATGCATACTCAAGGTCGATGAACAATTTGTAGAAATATTAACGTTTAAAAGGAATTGCAATGATGATTTCTTTTGGGATTAATGATAGGATGTTGTTTTTTTGGTTGTTGTAGCATTCATTGGACAAAATTAGGGCTGAACAGTTTTGGTTTTTTTGCACCTCTCTCTCAAATTTTAGTAAAGACAGGACATGAATATGATAATATGAGTATATGAGTTTTATTGCTCTCTGATCATTGTGTTTTTTGTCATTTAAGAAGAACAACATCATCGTGAAATGTATAATTTCTTTTTTTTGTCCACGCTTAATCACCATTGCTTCCTTATTTTGATGACATGATTTTAAATTAAAAGCAATATCATCTTTTCCTACCTTCTTTGAGTAAATCTATCCTTTAATGTGACGCCTCTTCTGTACCCTCACATATCCTTGTAAACCTACCCCGAAATCTCCCAGTCTGTAGATTCCCATATCTTCTTCTCTGGAACCCCTCACAGTACCCAAGCCATTTCTGCAAACAGCAACAAGCCCAGGGAGGAACGAGTTGAGTGGCAGAATCCCAATACTTGGAGTTTTGCTCCTAGTAGACAAGTAGTACCTATATTGCCACACTAAGGAATTGGAGGGATAACTAGAATTGATGGGAAACACATTTAATGCACTATATATGAAAGATTTTATGGTTGAGGATAGTCATCCCGGGCTTGCCACGTCACTCCCTTGACCTACTAGCTTGTAGTATAAATACCCAAATTTGTTTTATTGTAAAGGATGGACATGTTGGGTGTGTCTCGGAAAAATGAAAAAATATTAATTAAATAAAATTAATTAATAAATAAAATAGCTAAAAGAAAAGAAAATAGATGGAATAGAGTTTAGCCAGAGCTCGTGCTACACACGATGTCCTTAAAATGTATTCGTCGCCTCCCACGGTTCTAGGAGCGTTGCAACGACCGTTTCCCAGGATACGGTGGCTAACGAACTAACGTTTGAACACAAAAATGAGAGTTCCGGCGAACGGGAACAAAGGCAGAACAGTAAGGAAATTTTCGGAGTAGCCGGAAGTGTTTTAGAGCTCAAAAATACGTGAGGAATGTATTGTATATTTTTTTGTTGCAAATCACCTGCCAACTATTTATAAGAGGATTTGTTGTGTGTTAAATGGAGTGTTAATGGACCAGAACGTTGGACATCAATGACCAGTCCGTTGGGCATTGAATCGTCCATAAACTGTCCATTTAACGCTGCATTAAAAGACAAGAACGTTGGTCATTTATTGTTGTAACGGCTTGGAGCAGTTCTGGTGCGCGACCAAAATACCCCCACCAGAACACCTCGAGGTGTTCTGTCCGGAAGCCAACGAAATCCTCAGGTCTTTTGGTCCAACAGAAAGCCTCTCAAGTTCTCTGGTCCAACAGAAAGCCTCTCAGGTTCTCTGATCCGGAGGCCAACAGAAAGCGGAGCAGTTCTGGGAAAAATAAAACGTTACGGGAAGAACAAAAAATTAAGTCGTATCTTTGAATGATAGACTTTCGGACAGCATTCGTGTCCGCAGGTCGCCCGCGCACACGAGTCTCGGTTTTTCTTCCCCGTTTTCGAGATTTGATCGGCACCCCCTGCACGTAAGAGAGAGCCTTTACCTTTAGGAATCTTAACTCCTTACAAGAGGCTTCCCTTTATAAGGGGGTGAAAATCCCTTGAGTTTTCCGGTGTGGTATAAAACACACTAGGAACCCATCATTTTCCCAGTTTTTCCATTTCAACGAGTGAACTTCGAGAATCAGTTTCTCATTCACCCGTTATCCATTTTGAGCGTACCATATATCGAATTGTAGCCCTTAACAAAGATAATCCGAAACCACTTTGACCAACCCAAATTGGAAGTGGACTCCACTCAAATAATTGCCGCAAAATGACCGTTTCATTTAATTTTTAACACATTTTTTCAACAATCCCCCACATGAATGAAAATTGATTTTCGAGACTTAAAAAGACACGGAGATAGGAGGACACGTTGTGTTCACCGGATGATCCCTGCATACGGAGAGGTAGATTTTATCCTTTGAACCTTCCGCTATAAAGACATGTTTATTTACTGGCTGTCTAGTAGGCTCGATGTCCTTGAACTATATTGCCGTCGTGTAAAACTTGACTTATCTTTACACAGGAACCTTCCAACTTTGTTCCGTTCTCATGGGTGTGCCCGTTTTGGCCATGGGTCACCGTCCTGGTTCTGGAAGAGTTTCTAAAGAACTGAGCCTTTACAGTTCTACTTTGAAGCGGCCCTCTTCTCTCTCACATAGTTGATTCTTTCACGAGTATCCCGCATACTCTTCCAATGTTTATCGAGTAGATCAACATTTTTGAATCATTAAACGAAACGTTTTTGCTAACCTCGTGCGGGAGTCACTGTTTTAACGAGGAGTGGGTAGGAGTCCGGGACCCCACAGTGACCATCCTTCGCTCTATAATTTAGTTGTCCCTTTTGAACCTAGGACCAACTAGGTTGGGTATCCACTATAGAACTTTTCAATTTACGGGCTTTAATCCCATTCCCCGTGACAACTTCTTCAACAATTCTCTATCCAATGCCTTGGTTAGCGGATTCGCTATGTTATCTTTTGACTTCACGTAGTCAACAGTGATAACATCCGTTATGAGGATTTGTTTAATGATGTTATGTCTACGATGAATGTGTCTTGACTTACCATTGTACATATTGCTCTGTACCCTTCCAATTGCTGCTTGACAATCACAATGTATGCATATTGGAGGGACATGCTTTTCCCAACTTGGAATATCCTCGAGAAAATGGTGTAGCCATTCAGCCTCTTCAGTGCACTTATCCAAGGCTATTAGCTCAGACTCCATCGCGGATCTAGCTATTAACGTTTGTTTTGAGGATTTCCATGACACGGCTGCACCTCCCAAAGTGAAAACATATCCACTTGTGGACTTTGAGTCCTTAATGTCGGATATCCAACTAACGTCGCTATACCCTTCAAGTACAGCTATATATCTTCTATAGTGCAGTCCAAGGTTTTGAGTTTTACGTAAATACCTCAAAACTCGTACTATTGCCTTCCAGTGTTCATCACCGGGGTTGCTAGTATATCTACTTAGCTTACTAACCACAAAGGCAATATCAGGCCTGGTACAACTCATTATATACATCAAGCTTCCAATAATCCTAGCGTATTCTACTTGAGAAATATACTCTCCACGATTTTTGGTAAGTTGTACGTTTTTATCTAATGGAGTCCTTGCCTCTTGATAATCAAACTTATTAAATTTCGTAAGGATTTTATCAACGTAATGGGATTGGTTTAGCGTAAGACCGTCTGGTCCCCTAATTATTTTAATCCCAAGGATTAAATTGGCCAGCCCCATATCCTTCATGTCAAATTTAGAATTTAACATGCTTTTGGTAGAATTAATCATTAGATTATTGCTACCCACGATGAGTATATCATCCATGTATGAACATAAAATGACATAGCCGTCTACCGTGCTTTTCACATAGACGCATTTGCCACTTTCGTTTATTTTAAACCCATTAATTAACATTGCATGATCGAACTTTTCGTGCCACTGTTTAGGGGCTTGTTTCAATCCATACAATGATTTAATTAATTTACACACTTTCCTTTCTTGGCCAGGAACATGAAAGCCTTCGAGCTGTTGCATATAGATTTTTTCGTCTATATCGCCATTTAGAAAAGCGGTTTTTACGTCCATTTGATGAACTTCCAATTTCCGCAATGCGGCAATTGCTAGTATCATCCTAATGGAATTTATTCTCGTCACAGGAGAATACGTGTCAAAGTAATCATGACCCTCACGTTGCTTGTATCCCTTGATTACAAGTCTGGCCTTGTACTTATCGATGGAATCGTCAGGTTTCATTTTCCGTTTAAAAATCCACCTGGATCCCAAAGGTTTATTTCCTGGAGGAAGATCAACAAATTCCCATGTATGATTTTGTAGGATAGAATCCACCTCACTTTTGATGGCTTCTTTCAACATAGGACCCTCGGTAGACGTCACGGCTTCCGTATAATTCCGTGGCTCATTTTCTACCAAACATGTTAGAAAATCCGGTTCATTTTCTACCATACATGATAGAATATCCGAGTCAAATTCTACCAAATAGGTGAGAAAATCCGGTCCGAAGGATTTTTCAACTCTAGCACATTTGCTACGTCGGGGTTCGGGTTCTTCTTCAGAGCCCTCGCTAGTATTTTCCATAGCTACGTCGAATATTCGTTTTGACGTGTTCGATCCTTCGTTGGACTTGCATGGAAATACGTCTTCAAAGAATGATGCATTCCTTGATTCAATTATTGTGTTTTTATGTACATCCGGATTATTCGAATCGTACACTAAAAACCGATAAGCACAACTATTTTGTACATATCCAATAAAAATACAATCCACCATTTTTGGACCTATTTTTATTTTCTTAGGTGTTGGTACAAGCACCTTAGCAAGACACCCCCACACTTTCAAATATTGATAGGAAGGCCGTCTATCTTTCCACAACTCGTACGGAGTTTTATCATATTTTTCCGGAGAATCTTATTTAAAAGGTATTTGCTTGACAAGACTGCTTCGCCCCACATATTTTGTGGCAGGCCCGAACTTACTAGCATCGCATTTATCATATCTTTCAATGTGCGATTCTTTCGTTCGGCAACACCGTTTGATTGCGGTACGTTAATGTACTATACCCACGCTGGCGCAAAAGTCACCAATTGGTGCTTCATACTCACCACCTCGATCACTTCTAACCACTTTAATCCGTCGATTAAGTTGGTTTTCCACTTCATTCTTATAAAGAATGAATTTATCGATTGCTTCGTGTTTATTTTTTAATAAATAAACATAGCTATAACGAGTGCTATCATCGATAACAGTAATAAAATATTTATTACTGCCATGTGTTTGTTTGTATTTGAAAGACGTTTTCGTTAGTTTTGCCTCTACACAAACTTCACATTTGTGCTTCACATCAATTGTGAATTTAGGAATGTGTTCCATGTTAATTAATCTACGTATAGAATTAAAATTAACATGTCCTAGTCTACCATGCCACACATTGGAAGACTCAAGCAAGTAAGTAGAAGGGATTTTATTATTATTATTATTAATAATAGTCATTACATTAAACTTAAAAAGCCCATGACATGTATACCCTTTGCCCACATACATTCCCGACTTAGCCATAACTAGTTTGTCCGACTCAAAGAGCATGCAGAAGCCATGTTTGTTCAACAACGAGCTGGAGATCAGGTTTTTGCGTATCTCCGGAATGAACAACACTTGGTTGAGAGTCAGCTCCTTGCCCGAAGTCATCTTCAGGACCACCTTGCCCACGCCTTCCACCGCGGATTGAGCCGAGTTTCCCATCCACACCTTCTCACCATTTGATGGCTCAAAAGTAGTGAATAACTTCCGATTTGAGCAAATATGCCGGGTAGCACCGGTGTCCACGAACCACTCTTTGGAGTTGGATCCAACGAGGTTGACCTCGGTAACCACGGCCGCTAGGATTATGTCATCATCCTTTTGCCCACCTTGCACCAAGTTGACTTGAGAGTCTTTCTTCTTTTTTGGTGCCATGCAATCCGAGGACTTGTGTCCATTCTTGTTGCAATTGAAGCATTTTCCATTAAACTTCGTTTTGGAAACGCCTCCCTTGGGACCGAGCTTGCTCTTCCCATTATTTTTGGTTTTGGAGCCCTTTGCATGCTCCACCACATTTGCCTTGGCGCTGGTAATGATTGAGAGTTTCCCATCGTTTTTCCGGTTATCCTCTTCAATCCGCAGACGGAGGATCAATTGCTCTAAGTTCATTTCATTTCGCTTGTGCTCAAGGTAGTTTTTGAAATCCTTCCAAGCCGGCGGCAATAAATGGATAATTGATGCCACTTGGAAAGATTCACTAACTGTCATTCTTTCATCTCGAATTTCATTGAAGATCATTTGCATTTCTTCAACTTGACTCAAGACCGTCTTCGAATCCACCATCTTGAAGTCAAGGAATCGGCCGACAACAAATGGATAATTGTGAACCAATGTTCACCGGTGCTCCACTTTCAGAGTGAGTGTCGTTTGGCACGTTCTGCCCACCAACATTCTGAATTTCTTGAGAAGTCATTTTAACGTTTTCTTACGTTTTCCGAAAGCACAAAAAAATAAGTACGTTCACCAAAGTGACAAACTACGATTTAAGATTGTTTACCGGAGTAGAACAATCAACGAACACATTTTAAGATTGTTGGGTGTGTCTCGTAAAAACGAAGAAATATTAATTAAATAAAATTAATTAATAAATAAAATAGCTAAAAGAAAGCAGAAAATAGATGGAACATAGTTTAGCCAGAGCTCGTGCTACGCACGATGTCCTTAAAACGTATTCGTCGCCTCTCACGGTGTTAGGAGCGTTGCAATGACCATTTCCCTGGATACGGTGGCTAACGAACTAACGTTTGAGCACACAAATGAGAGTTCCGGTGAACGGGAACAAAGGCAGAACACTAAGGGAATTTTCGGAGTAGCTGGAAGTGTTTTAGAGCTCAAAAATACGTGAGGAATGTATTGTATGTTTTTTTTGTTGCAAACCACCTCCCAGCTATTTATAGGAGGATTTGTTGTGTGTTAAATGGAGTGTTAATGGACCAGAACGTTGAACATCAATGACCAGTCCGTTGGTCATTGAATCGTCCATAAACTGTCCATTTAACGCTGCATTAAAAGACAAGAACGTTGGACATTTATTGTTGTAACGGCTTGGAGCAGTTCTGTTGCGCGACCCAAATACCCCCACCAGAACACCTCAAGGTGTTCTGTCCGGAAGCCAACAGAAGCCCTCAGGTCTTCTGGTCCAACAGAAAGCCTCTCAGGTTCCCTGGTCCAAAAGAAAGCCTCTCAGGTTCTCTTGTCCAACAAAAAGCCTCTCAGGTTCTCTGGTCCGGAAGCCAACAGAAGGTAGAGCAGTTCTGAAAAAAAATAAAACGTTACGGGAAGAACCAAAAATTAATTCGTATCTTTGAATGATATGATGACTTTCAGACGTCATTCGTGTCCGCAGGTCGCCCGCGCACAAGAGTCGTGGTTTTTCTTCTCCGTTTTTGGGATTTAATCGGCACCCCCCCTCGCGTAAGAGAGAGCCTTTACCTTTAGGAATCTTAACTCCTTACAAGAGGCTTCCCTTTATAAGGGAGTGAAAATCCCTTGAATTTCCGATGTGGTATAAAACACACTAGAAACCCATCATTTTCCCTGTTTTTGCATTTCAACGAGTGAACTTCGAGAATCAATTTCTCATTCACCCGTTATTCATTTTGAGCGTACCATATATCGAATTGTAACCCTTAACAAGGGCAATCCGAAACCACTTTGACCCGATCCAAACCGGAAGTGGACCCCACTCAAATAATTGCCCCAAAATGACCGTTCGATGCAATTTTTAACACATTTTTCAACAAAATCATGCATTTAATAACTTAGATTCTCTCTCTACATTCTTTTGTAACTCTCAACTTAAAATAGAGATTCGGGACTCGGCTCGATAAGAGTGTGTTGTAATCATTCTAAGTCCGTTTAATAGAACATGGTGCATTTTACCTTTTATTTCTTGTATTGACTTGTGCCATTTATTGTTTGTTAGTCATACACGAATTTAAATACATCTAAAGTACTCTCCATATAAAAGATCATTTGAAATCACGGAGGAGCGTGTTGGGCCTTTGGAGCATGAGAACTTAATCCCAACACATAGTATTAATTTATTTCAATGAAAAGATCTATGATTAGTAAGGTTATTTTCAAAATAGTACTAAAATACATTTATAGAAAAAATATAATTAAATAGCCACTCAATAACACATAATTACTCTACATATTAAGTTTTATCACTATCCGCTAAAGATTACAATCGCCTATTTTTGTAATAAATTGAATCATCACTTATAAATTGATTGCCTTCTTTTAAATTTTACGCATATAGTGCATGCCCAAACAAACATGTACTCATCTTTATTTCGTATTTTTCACACACTAATACAATATTATATAAGGAAAATAATTAAAATATCAGTAAACATAATATTTAGAATATCAATAAACATAGACAAAGTTTAAAAAGAGGCATATATAACATTTTTTATTTCCAAAACAAGACTTATGTAGTTATGTGAAACTATAAAAATAAAAAGTTAAATGGATGAGTTATAAATATAACATTTCTTGAGGAAATGTTATATTTATTCTTATATACCCCCCATTTCTAGATATTCTTCTCATATATACAGAGTATGCATGTAATATAAAATATATATACCCCGCATATTTAATTGCTCTCACTTATTCTTTTATCATAAATATTTATATTTAATAACATTTTTTCTATTTTAGTAAGTGTGTCGTTTACGGATACATTATGTGCATGTGCCCTTATTTTTTCAACTATTTCTATATCATGCACTAGGTCTGATCTATTATTTCGTTCTTAAATTCCTCGATAAACTTATAATGGAAAGTAAATTAATATACATGGAATACAATATACATATATATGTCTCATTTTGTATATATTTCCCCATCGGTTCATATTTTTGTCAGGCATTATTCAGCCAAGTTCAATTCCACATATATAGAAGATGCCAGTGTTGAAAGAGGACAACTTGTTTAATCAAGAACAAATAATTGAGGAATTTGAGTTGTTGACAAAGGATAGCGGAAAAGTACAAGAGGATATTCTAAGGAGGTTTCTTGAAGAGAACAAGGAGACTGAATATCTATGGAAAAAATGTGGACTTAATGGAAGAACAGACCCTAAGAGCTTCAAGGACTGTGTTCCTCTGGTCGTTCACAAAGATTTGGAGCCTTACATTCAGAGGATTGCTAATGGTGATTCTTCTCCAATCCTCACTTCAAAACCTATTTCCGCCTTGTCAAAGAGGTATATGAATATCTTACTTGCTAGCTCCTTGTAATATATAATCCAATTTTACTTTTGTTGTTGTTTCATATATAATATACTTCTAAGACTTTTATATTATATTTCCATCTCACAAAATTCCATCATATCTGTTACGTTTTAAATCGCTTTTATCTAGTTGGAGAGATGCATTACAGTTATAAAACTCATGTAGAGCTTCATTTACAAAATATTGCTCCCTTCGTCCCGAAAAGGTTGGTCAAAGTTGACTTTCACGTGGATTAATAAAGTAAAAATTGTGTGGTTGAAATTTGTGTAGAGGAGAGAATTAATTTTAGCCACATATTTCTTACTTTAAATGGAAATGACAAATCTTTTTGGGACATCCAAAAAAGGAAATTTGGCCAACCTTTTCGGGACGGAGGGAGTACATGCAGATAGGTACCTTTTTTCATTAAAATTCGTTTTAACCTATAATTTTGTATACTTGAATATAAAAAAGAAGTTGAATCTGTGGCCATTCAATTCCTAATTTTGAGAGTATGGCTGATTTTAGCTCACGTATTGCTAAATGTGAGATTTTAATATTCTAATTAATGGTGATTATCTGGCTTCCATTGTCGACAATTGTACAGAACAATCTTTTCTTAATCAATTATTATTATCTTTGGACAACGATTTTGATTATCACATTCGTATGAAATTTGTAAAATTTATAGTTTCCTGGAAACACTTTTAACACAAAAACATTTCCATATTTTAAATGTTTTGTATTCAAAAATATTATCGATGAAACTTGGTTACTATAAAAGTCAATAAGATGAAATTTTGTAGGATACAATGAGTGTTTTGTTTCATTTGACCTTACATCGTGATTCGTTGCTGAGCTTGAAGTCCCAATTCCAGAATAAACATGATTATTTTATCTCAATATTTGAAAATTAAGATATATGTATATATGTCGTGCAAACAATGATTTCCAAGTCATATTTAATTAATCAATTTTGAAGTTGATGAATCTCTTTAAATTTAATACTCACTCCGTCTCACTGAACTTTGCCAACTTTCCTTTTTTGTTTGTCCCAAAAAACTTTGACACTTTTCTTTTAAAGCAATGTTTTTGTGGCTCTATTCATTTCTCTCTCCTCTGCACAAATCTCAACCATACAAATTTTATTATTCTTATTTCAATTCCCACCTAACCTCAACTTGGCAAAGTTGAGTGGGAGGAAGGTAATATAATAGTTATGTTTTTATCTATAGTATAATGAGTTTAATTTGGTTTGTTTGTGTGTGTGTGGTTATAGCTCGGGGACTACTCAAGGGAAGCCAAAATATATTCCATTCACGGATGACATGTTTAATTCTTCACTATTTGTATTCAGGACTTCACTTGCTTACAGGAACAGGTATATTATATATATATATATATATATATATATATATATATATATATATATATATATATATATATATATATATATATATATATATATATATATATATATATATATATATGCGTGTGTGTGTGTGTGTGATAAATGTAATGAAAGGGGAGAGTTCTAGTGAGAACCAATCTTAAAATGTGAACTTGTTATCATGAGAATTTTTAATCACAATCTTTTATATAATTCAATCATCGATAGGATGCACATTGGTAATTTGTGTAATTATTGAAAATTCAAATGGAGTTTTTTTTTGTAATTATTGTCGAGTTATTACAAAATGTCAACTTATTAATTCCAACCCTTGATTCCATAAATCAAGGGTGTTGATTAGAAGTTCTCATCTATAAATGGGTTCTCATTTTAAATGGGGTTCTCACATCATACCTTTTATCCTGCACATTTCAGTTTCATCTAGTGCACATTTCAATTTCATTTAATGCACAATTCAGATTCACATAATGTCACTGTATCTAATGCACATTGAATTTCACTTAAAGCAAATCTTACGGTCCAGATTCATTCTCATTTCTCTCCTAAGATCATGTTCTTATTTGAACCAAAACCTATACATACATACATACATACATACATACATACATACATACACACATGTAATATGTGTGGTTTGAATTCATCCATAAGAGTTCATTTGGCTCTTTCTTTTGTACCTCAACTTGTTTAGCCCAATTCACGATTTGAGAGAATATTGAAGTGTGTGTCCCATATCGGCTAATATAAGATACAGAGTAATAAACAACATATAAGATCTTGGATTATTCCCACTTTTAAAATAATAAATGTCACATTTTTTGTACATTCTAAAAATATCTCATTTTTTTTCACAGAAATAATTGAACAATTGATATTCTATTTTATTTCTAAAGAATAAGATAAACTAGAATATATCTGTGTCGTCATACTCAGTGACTTTGCAACCCCAACTATGAAAACAATAAAATGCCCTAATACCTTATATTTTTCAGTTCAAATTCTGATCAAGATCATTTAAATTCATAACCTTAATTGATTTTATATCTTTCTCTAGATATATGTGTAAGTAGTTAAAAAATTAGTTCAATCATATACTAGAAGTAATATAATGATTAAAAAACTGGACTTGTAATTATCTAGTCATTACAATAGAACTAGTTTGTAATAGATTGAGAATGACACAACTCTATGTATGTAGGGAATTTCCTATTGAAACTGGGAAAGTGTTACAGTTCCTATATAGCAGCAAGGAGTTACAGAGGAGTAACGGCGGTTTGGCAGTTGGTCCAGTATCAGCTCATGTTGTCAACAACCCAAAATATATCGAAACATTGAAGTCAATGAACACTCCATGTTGCAGCCCTAGTGAAGTGATATTCAGCCCAAACGTCCAACAATCATTATATTGTCACCTTCTTTGTGGTCTCATGTTTCGCGACGAAGTCCAATTCGTCTCATCCGTGTTTGCTCACGCTTTAATTCTCGCTTTCCGAACATTTGAGCAGATATGGAAAGAACTCTGCTCTGATATTCGGAGCGGGGTTCTGTCCAGCCGGATCACTATTCCCACCCTTCGATGCGCGATGTCATCGAAAGTTCTCATCAAGCCTAATGCTGAGTTGGCAGACCGAATCCGTGCAAAGTGCGAACGACTAACAGAAAATGATTGGTATGGAGTGATTCCTGAACTATTTCCTCATGCGAAGTACATCCATTCGGTGATGACTGGGACTATGCAGCCTTACGTGAAGAAGTTGAGGCAGTATGCAGGAGAGCTGCCTTTGTTGTGTTCAGACTACGGAGCTTCGGAAGGATGGGTCGGGTTGAATGTGAACCCGAGATCACTACCAGAAATGGCGTTATTCACCGTTCTCCCTAATGTAGCTTATTTTGAATTTATACCTTTGAAGAACATTGAAGATTTGGAACCGAGTGTAGTGGATTTGACCCAGGTCAAAGTTGGTGAGCAGTACGAAGTTGTTATCACAAACGGCCTAGGTCGGTATACCTCTGATCTTTTTCCCTAACTCGAATCACATATACTACCTCCGTAACCCTATAATCTTCCCAATTTCACTCTTTTGAGTCAAACTTTATAAACTTTGACCATTAATTATTCAACATGATATGCATGCAGGATTGTATCGGTATCGTTTAGGAGACATTGTGGAGGTGAGAGGCTTCCACAATTCTTCAACCCCACAACTCAGATTTGTTCGCAGAAAAAATCTTCTGCTAAATATCGACATAGACAAGAACACAGAAGAGGATGTTCAGCTCTCTGTGGAGACGGCTGCAAAAATCTTAAGCGACGACTCATCATCCAACCTTGAACTGCTAGACTTCACAAGCCATGTCAATAAGTCAACATATCCTGGCCATTACGTTGTTTTCTGGGAAGTCAGCGGGGAAGAAAACGATCATCTCCACCATCATCATCATCATCAAGTGTTGCAGGAATGCTGCAACTGCTTAGACAGTTCGTTCGTGGACATGGGTTACATGATTTCACGGAAGGCAAGAACCATTGGTCCATTAGAGCTTAAGGTTGTGAGGAGAGGGACTTTCAACAAGATTCTTGATCACTATGTTGGGTTAGGCACTGCCGCTACGCAATTCAAGAGTCCTAGGTTTGTTGGAGATACTAATGGTGCAGTTTTGGAGATACTAAGGAACAGTGTGGTCATGACCTACTCTAGTACTGCATATTCTTAGTAGTCCAATAATTTGTCATGTCATTGTTTGTTGGTTTAAATTCTATGAAAATAATAAATATGTAGCAGGAGGACCAATACACAGCCTTCTAGCTACTTCTTGGTTGATGAAAACACATTGATCTAAAAATATAGTTACTAAACTTTTGATTTAAACCCGATATTATAATCATTATTTGTTGATTTAGGGGGTACGGTGTATCCACAATTAATAGTTTGTCTACATTGAGAACTATTATACCAAAATGTATCACTTTCAATAATCACAAAGCACGAACATGAAAATTTGGTCGGAAATAGTATATTTGTGTGGGAAAATCTTGGAAACACAATAATTAATGAGACATGCAAGCGTAAATTTATTGAACAAATTATGGGCATACGCATACAGTGGCGGACCTACCTTGTGTCCCATGGGGTCCCGGGACCCCAAGGACTTAACAAAAATTACTTGGGATAATTTGAGTTTGCACCCCACTTTATTGTTGAAATTAGACTTTGCACCCCGTTTTTGAAATCCTTAGTATTTGCACCCTAACCCCGTATGAAAAGACAAGAATGCCCCTCGATCAGAAATATGTTGAAGGACAACAAAATTGTTAACTGAGGGGCATTTTAGTCTTTTCATACGGGGTTGGGGTGCAAATACTAAAGATTTCAAAAATGGGGTGCAAAGTCTAATTTCAACAATAAAGTGGGGTGCAAACTCAAATTATCCCAAATTACTTTCATTATCTTTGTCCCTAGATTAAGAAAGTGAGAATTGTATGATGAAGAGTTGTGCAAATGAGAGAAATATGTAAAAATGTGTAAGAATGTTGTGAACCACAAATTCTTTGCCTTGAAACGATCTGGAAAAAATGACTTCATGTTGGCTCATCGTGAATGGGCCACGGTCTAGAAGCAACATATACACTGAATTCCTAAAATTTGGCCATTTTCTGTAAATTAATTGCATTTCAGAAACCCCGCCCTCATCTAACATGTTTGAGAACACATTGGTATATAATATTAAATTCATCTCCTTCACCAATGAAAAATGCCATACTAGGAGGTATGTAATAATTAATACTCTACTTCATTATATATTTGGAAAATAGAGCAATTCAGATGAACGAGACCAATAATCCTACCCTCACTAGCCATTTCTAAAAATTATAGATTATAAATATATTAAAAGAGAAAAAGTATTGTGTGTTGTGGTGAAATTTTGAGAATGAAGGAAGAGATTTTATAGGTGAGATGGGTGGAATAGTTAGGTAGAGAATGAACTTGCGAGAATTGATCGCCAAAGCGCCAGGCACGTATTCAGAATGTTGTATTACAAATGATATATTCTTGGAATGAAAGTCTAACGAGTCGAATAGTCACGTGGAGAACTTAGTTACCAAAAACCCATGTACATACGTATTCTGAATATTATATACCGAATGATTTTTTTCGGAATAAAAATTTATTATTTGTTATGACGTAGTTTTTTTTAATTTTATTTTCCATTCGGAATGCTTTATTCTGAGTGTCTTTTTACTTTAATTTTATTATTATTCATTCGGAATGCTCCATTCCGAGCAACTTTTTTCTTAAACTCTATTCCATTCGGAATGAGACCTTTCAAAATTCATTTTTTCGTACCCTAAAAGTAACTCCCACGTTTTTGCATGGGAGTTTCAAATTTCTCGTATTCTTGTCATCTCCTCTTACATTTATATATACAATGAATATTATTTGAAATAATTTCCAATGTATGATTAAATCAAATGACTTTTAATATGCAATGTCCTAGTAATAGTCATAGTGACTTCTATAATCAAATGTGTATGATTTCTACATTAATTTTCATTGACAAATAGTTTTATTAACGCTACAATCAAGCAAAGTGGTTTTGGTAAGGTGATATTTTTTGTACCGAGTATGGCGCAACCAAGCCGATAAGGCAGCACAACATTTTATTTTAATTTTTTTAGTCATGCATTTATTTCACTTTGATTTTAATCACTTTCTTATTATCATTCTCCTAGGGAGGTTAGTTTTTTACTACCTCCGTAACCCTAGAATCTTCCCAGTTTGACTCTTTTGAGTCAAACTTTATAAACTTTGACTATTAATTATTCAAAACCCACATTATGTTATGATTAAAAATTTATTTCATATACCTCATTGTAAAACATATTATTTGAATGTTAATTTATTATGAATTTTATAAATATAGATACATAGATATTTAGAGTCAAAGTTTAACCTAGAAGACCGTGAAAAGTCAAAATGGGAAGATCTTTGTGTTACGGAGGTAGTATATCAATGTTAAAGGTCAACAGTGGCTCTGTTTTTCCATTTGAATTATCACTAACTTTAACACAAATTTAAAAGTGAAATTTGAATGTTTTTGCGGTCTCAATTTTCTGCTGTCAACTTCTCTGTGGAATGTATATCAATTGAAGTGTTAAGCCCCTTCTCTACAAAAATGTTAGACTGGATATCTAAGCTCCTTTCTATTGAAAAATGAAATACATATTGGGGGTGTTTGGCAATTGGCTGTTAGCTATTGGTTGTTGCCTGATTGTGTTGGCTGATTGATAACAACAGATTTGGTTGGTTGTTTTGATTAGTTGATAATATTAGCAGTTTATAAAATGATGTTTGGTTAAATGGTTGTTTACAATCAGGTGATAACTTGTTAAATGACTATTAAGAACATTAATATTTTTTTAGTTCATTTAATTAATACAATTGCCTAAACTGTTTTTTATTTAAAAATGTAAAATTTATTTTACATCCTTCAAGTAACAATCTGTCCTAGTCTTTCTAAAAAATGTATATAAACTATTATTATTGTTGTTATTATTATAACATAAAAATGTACCTAGTACTCCGTAAATGTTGTTAAATACACAAATCTTCCTAGACCCTTTCAAATAATTTTCCCTGCCACAAAAAGCTAAAGAAAGAATCTTGCTCTTTTTCTATTGTTGCTATTTTTCTCTTCGACAGAATAGTAATTAGACTGTTGAATGGTTTTTGTGTGTGGGGAGGTAGATACGGAAAAGGAGGCCTGGGCAGTAAAGGAAAATAGGAAAAATCAAAGAAACAACCACTCCCTAAAAGCTAGGTTCCATAGCATTTTACATTTTGGTTGTTTGTGACAAAATGCCAAATGAAAAAGTCATTTAACCAAGCACCTTATTAGCTTGTTGGTTTGGTCAAGAAGCCAAGTATTGATCAAACCAGCCAAAAAATGGTTGATAGGCTCTTAACCAAACACCCCCATTGAACATGAGGAGCAAAGAAAATGAGAGATTGAGATAACTCTACCTCTCTAAAATTAATGGCGATAAACAAGTACTTGGCAAAGCATCGCGGGTGTGGTCTTAGATTGTACATAAAGAAAAGGATCAATACAGTGCAAACGATTCAATGAAATCTTTAGTAGAAATACAGTGTTGGGGGGCTTCAGGGATGAGGTGTCATCCTTTTTAGTAGAAGATTTGTCAATGATGAATTAAAAGAAGATAAAAAGGAGAGTAGTCTCAACATAGTGTGTTTACAAGGCTAGTGTAGAATATAATGTTAAGGGTAAATTAGATATTTGAACCAATTTTACTTTTTAATATTTAACTTGAAGGCTATGATTAGTAATATGGGGATGTAAATAGAATCTCCCTATCACTAATTCAAGATTTCAAGCCACTTCCATTCAGGTGGTTGTCTTAGATTCTAATCTAAAGTGTGCTTGGGCTTTTGTGATGAGGTTTTATTGACAAGGTGTGAAGCACATTTGAAGTTTTTTTTTATAAAAGACTTACTTTAAACTAATGTGATAATGAGAACTATCAATCTAACAAATAACTTAACACAATCACTAGCCCTTGGTTCATATGAAGAGTTGATCACCCCTATATATAATTATGTATATTTCATTATTTACCAAAAAATAGTAAGTTTTTCATTCATAAACTTTCAAATCTATATATGTAATTATATTGCATTGTACGTGATGGATAGTGTACCCGGGGGTAGCTTATCCGAGGGGTATTACGGGGAATAACTAGAGAGAAGTCAGAGCAAATGAGTATAGAGAGAGGAAGTATATTAGAAAGTGTTCAGTGTTTTCAGCATTTTTTGTGACTTGGTTTCAAATGGGGAAATGGGGTGCTATTTATGGTAGTAATAAATGCCGGACAGGGACACGTGTCAAGCGTCCATTGACCGAGGGGTCACCTCAACTGGCTGGCGCGGGCAACCGCATGTGGCCGCATTAAATGCGGCTGTTGGATGTGACGTCGTACTTGGTACGGTGATCTATACGCATGTGGAGCGGATATCATGTCGGAAAAGGTGCCCTCGGCTGTAGAGGACTAGCCGAGGGCTCTGAGTACCGGGGACCCCCTTAGTGCCGAGGGCTCCAGGTGCCGAGGACATAGTCCCCCACTTGGAATTCCCGGGAGCGGACCTTGGCGTCAATGTAACTCTTCACTTGCCTTCGGTAGTTTTCTGCGTGTATGAAGGCTTGCTCTCGGCGTTCTGAAATAAGGTGGAGGTCGAGGGCCATATTGGAGTCGTTGGCCTCTGGATCATACTGTGTGACCCTTCGGGTTGGAAGAGTTACCTCAGTGGGGGGGCTTAGCTTCAAATCCGTAACAAAGGGGGAAGGGTGTCTCACCAGTTGCCCGCCGAGGGGTGGTACGGTAGGCCCATAAGATGTTGTGGAGCTCTTCTACCCAACCACCCCCTTCGGCCTCCAGTTTCTTCTTTAGGCCCTCAAGCAAGGTCCTGTTGGCGTTCTCCACCTGACCGTTGCCCTGAGGGTAGGCAACGGATGAGAAGGTGTGTTTGATGCCCCATGCCTCTAGGAGGGCACAGAAGGGGGCTGCCTCGAACTGAGTCCCGTTGTCGGAGATGATTTGCTGAGGGACGCCAAATCTTGTGAGGATGTTTTTAAGAACAAAGTGACGGCACCTGGCCTCAGTAATGCTGACGAGGGGCTCCGCTTCCACCCATTTGGTGAAGTAATCGACGGCGACGATGATGTACCTGTTGTTGGAGGCACCCCTCGGCAGAGGGCCCACAAGGTCTATGCCCCATCGAGCGAAGGGTATGGATGTGCTGATGGGGGCATAGTTGACCGCTGGCCTGCCGGGGGCTTTCTGGAAGTGTTGGCATGCGGGACACCTCCGGGCAAGATCTGCACAATCCCGGGCCATCGTAGGCCAGAAGTAGCCCTGGATTATTAGCCTTCGGGACATGGAGAAGGGCCCCTGGTGAGCTGAGCAAGTGCCACTGTGTACCTCCTCCATCGCTACTTCGGCTTCATCTTGATGAAGGCACCGAAGTAATGTCCCGTTGTAGGACCTTTTGTAGAGCCTTCCGTCCTCGATGGCGTAGCTGGGAGCCCTCAGCTTTGCCAGCTTGGCGTGGGCCTCATCCTCGGGCAGTTGCCCTGTGGTGATGAAGGTGACAATGTCTGAGATCCAGTCACCCTACCTTTGTTGTATGTGCATGATAGGGCTAGCGTGTATGCTAGAGAGGCTGAGTTCTTCCACTTTGGCGATCTTTGAGATGTGCTCAGGGGATTCGGCCGAGAGCTTGGATAAAATGTCGGTCTCGGAGTTTTGAGCCCTCGGTATCTGAGTAAGAGAGTGTGCCTCAAATACCTTAAGCAACTCCTTGGCCGCCTCCTTGTACTGTCTCATTCTCCCTTCCTTGGCTTTGTACTCCCCGGAGATTTGGCCGACGACTAACTTGGATTTGCACTTGACGTGGATTTGTCGGGCCTTCATGTTAGCTGTCAGCCGAAGGCCACAGAGGAGGGCCTCGTATTCGGCTTCATTGTTGGAGACTTTGAAGGAGAAATGGACTGCATAATAGGCCCGGAAGCCCTCGGGTGAGATGAGAACCACCCCTCCCCCACATGCTTTGACGTCGGAGGAGCCGTCGGTGTAGAGGGTCCACCAATCATCTGAAGGGGCCGAGGGCTCCTCGGTCGTGGCTGATCTTGCCGTACATTCCGTCACGAAGTCCGCTAGGGCTTGGCCCTTGATAGCGGGTCTAGGACGGATGTCGATGTTGTATTGGCTTAAGAAGACAGCCCATTTCACCATTCGGGAGGAGCTAGTGGGGCTCCTCATCAAAGCGCCGAGGGGTTGATGAGTGAGGACCTGGACCGGGTGAGCCTGGAAGTAGTGGCCCAGCTTCTTGACGGTCTACACGATAGCCAACACCGTTTTTTCCACAGGGGGGTACCGGAGTTCCGCCTCCCTTAGGGTCTTGCTAACATAGAAGATGGCATGCTGGATGCCACCCTCTTCCCGGATGAGTACTGAGCTGATGGCAGCCGGGCTAACACCCAAGTAGAGGTACAGGATCTCCCCTACCTTGGGTTTAGAGAGCACAAGGGGTGAAGATAAGTATCATTTCAGCTCCTCGAATGCCCCCTGACATTCTGAAGTCCACTGGAAACCGGCTGTTTTCCTCATGATCTGAAAGAAGGGTAAGGACTTCTCCGTCGATTTTGATAAGAAGCGATTGAGGGCTGCCAGGCGGCCCGTCAACCGTTGGACCTCCTTCACGTTGCGTGGGGGCTCCATGTTGATGATGGCCTGGATCTTCTCGGTGTTGGCCTCAATACCCCTTCGGCTAACCATGTAGCCCAAGAATTTGCCCCCCTGAACGCCGAAGGTGCACTTCTTTGGGTTCAGCCGAAGGCTAAACTTCTATATGATGGCGAAGATCTCCCTCAGGTCATCAGCATGGCTTGCTGATTGCTTGCTCTTGACGATCATGTCGTCAACATACGCCTCCATGGTGCGCCCTAGGACAGCCTGGAATACCCTGGCCACCATCCGAGTGTAGGTGGCACCTGAGTTCTTTAGGCCGAAGGCCATGACGAGGTAGCAGAAGATGCCCTCGGGAGTCATGAAGGCTGTTTTTTCAGCGTCTTCCTCATGCATGTATATTTGATGATATCCGTGGAATGCGTCGAGGAATGACATGATTTCACACCCCGCGGTTTCATCCACGAGTTGATCAATAATTGGCAAAGGAAAGGGGTCCATGGGACACGCCTTGTTGAGGTCCGTGTAGTCCACGCACATGCGGAATGAGGGCGGTTTCTGTGCGAGGACTACGTTTGCCAGCCATGAGGGGTACTTCACCTCCTTGATGTGCTTGATAGAGAGGAGCATGACGACCTCCTTCTTCACAAATTCCCTCCTCTCGGCCGAGAGGGGTCTCCTCCTCTGCTGTACTGGTTTGGCCGAAGGGTCCACCGAGAGGCGGTGGGTGATGACCCTTCGGCTGATCCCCGGCATGTCCTCCGGCCCCCATGCAAAAACAATGGAGTAGGCGCGGAGGGCGCTGATGATGTCGGTCTTCAAATCTTCGGGGAGCTTGGCTCCAATCTTCACGACTCTCTCCGGTCTGGCCGGATCGAGCGCGAAGTCTTCTACCTCCTCGGCTGGTTCAGCCCTCGGCCTACTTTCTTCCGCTTCCACAGTTCCGGTGATGGTGTCAACACGGAACTCCGTCTTGCTAACCTTCTTTGTAACTTGAAGGTAGCAAGCGCGGGCAAGCTTTTGGTTCCCCCTTGAGTAACCAATCCCCCCTTCGGTTGGGAACTTGAGGCAGAGGTGCCTCATGGAGATGACGGCTTCGAGATCCTCGAGGGATGGCCGGCCGAGGATGATGTTGTGGGCGCAGTCGATGTTGACGAAGACGAACTCCACTTCGAGCTTGGCTCTATGGAGGCCGTCGCCGAAGATTACCGGGAGGGTTATGACCCCCTCAGAATCAATGGTGTCGCCGGTGAAGCCGGCAAGAGGGGTCTTGATGGGCCGAAGGGACCCCCTCTCCAGATGCAGCTCTCTGAAGGTGCTGAGGTACATTACATTGACGGAGCTGCCCGTGTCAATGTAAGTTCTGTGAATAATAGTGTCGTTGATCTCTGTGCGGATGACGAGGGCATCCCTATGTGGGGAGGATACTGGGGGGAGATCAGTGTTGGTGAAGATAATGGGTTCCTCCCTCAACCGCTTTACCGGGGGCATATGAGTGACTTCCCCCACGTAAAGTGATTGAGCCCACTTCTTTCGTTGAATCGTAGAATCACCTCCAGTATTTCCCCTCGTGATCATGAGGACATGGCGTTTCTCTTCTTGGTACCGGGGGTACTCCTCCTCCTCTTCCTCCATATTTCCAATCTCCCTCTTCTTGCCGAGGGGGATGGTGTTGGGGTTGACCCATGCATTTGCTCTCGCCGTCTGCCCTCGGGTTGGCCCCTGTTGAGGGGGGCCTTGTTGCTGATGGCCCGATTGTATCAATCTTTCGATGGCCGTCTTCAGCTGATGGCAGTCATCGGTCCTGTGCCCCTGGTGTCGGTGGAAGCGACAGTAGGGGTAGTTTGGATTGATGGCAAATACCTCCGGTGGTGCACGTGAATCTCGCTCCACCAGGCCCCTCTCCTCAGCAAAATCAAGAATAATGCTGATGGGGTGCGTCAATGGTGTCCGAGGGTGCTCCAAGAGGACAGGCTGTGCCCAAGCCCTCGGGTTCCCCTTGTAGCCTCCCCCGGGCTTGGCTTGGCCATGCCGGGGGCGATCACCGGAGGGGGCAGAATCCTTGGGATGATTGCGGGGAGCCCCCGGTTACCTTTGTCGTCTGGCCGAGGGCGTTGCTGATCTGGGACATGGTGGTATTTCTCCACCTCCTCGGCCTCGGCGTACCGGTCCCCCCGCTGTAGAGCCCTTATATAATCGCGGGGGGGTTCGATGATGAGGCTCCTTGAGAAGTTCCCGGGGCGGAGTACTGTTTGTAGGAGGGCCAGGAGGGTCCCGTCGTCAGCGCCATCAACTTTATCAGCCTCCATCCTCCAGCGCTCCAGGAAGTCCCGGAGGGTCTCCTCTTTCTTCTGCCTCACTGTTAGCAAGTGGGAGAAGTGTTTTCTTGTGCGGCGCCTTCCCGCAAATTGCGTCAAGAATCGCTGGGCGAGTTCTTGCCATGAGTCAATGCAGCCCTCGGGCAATCGATTGAACCATTCGTAGGCCGGCCCCTCTAAGGTGGAGAGGAACCAACGGCACAAATATTCATCTGATGCCCCCACCATCATCATGCTGTTTTGATACCTGCTGTAGTGCTCTTGGGGGTCAGTCTTTCCGTTATAGGGCTTGATGAGTTGCCCTCGGTGTTTTTCCGGGATCCGGGCCGCCAATACCCTTGGGGTAAATGGCGTCCGGGTCCGGAGCTGTATGGTGGGCTCCCCAGAGCCCTCGGCTATCTTCTTCTGCATTTCTTCCATCTTGGCCATCATCGCCTCATACTTGAGGTCTGTATGAGGGGCAGAAGTGGTGGCATGGGCTTTGGTGGCCTCCATCTCGTCAAGTCGGCGCTGGAGGACCGCAATGATTTCATCCCGGGGGTCCTTCGGGAGGACCTCCGCCCCCTGCGAATGGACCCGGGCCGAGTGGGCCTGGTTGATTTGGTGGCGTGCGTCGTCGGCATGGAGAGGCGCCTTACCTTTGTCCTGAGGGGGACGCCTTTCATTGGCCCTGGAGACGGACCCCCCGTTTTCCCGAGGCCTCTGGAACGCCTTCCCCCCGAGGCGGTCTTGGACCCCTGGGCGGTCTTGCGCCCCTCCGAGTCTCTCGAGGGCGGAGGTCCAGAGCTGTTCTTTGTTCACGTTGTGGCAGTCCCGGGACTGGACTTCCTGGGAGGCCGTATCTTGGGCCGCGACCCCCTCGGAGTTCCCCATCCAAAGGAACGGGTTACCGAGGGGTCGTGGATGAGGGGGAGGCATAATATTCTCCCCTACCTGAGGTTGATGGGGAACCAAAGTGCCGAAGGCACCCGGGTTCTGGGTGAGCGTCTGGATGAAGGCGGAGAGCGCCGATTGCACGTCGATTGTGATGACCGGAGGGCTAATTTGATTCTCGCTCCGGTCCCTTTTCTTGGCCTCGATGCCGAGGCGGGCATCGGGGGCATTTTGTTGAATCTGTTGGCGTAGGCCGATAGCCGTCTGGTCCAACCCGGCGATGACGCCGCCCCCGGGAGCCCTGTTGGAGGCTTCGGGGACGTCGACCTCGCCGAGAGCCAGGTTCCTGTCCTTTACGTTCTTGGAGTTGGCACGAGTTGTTCTCACCATTTTAGCTAGGTGTTTCTTGTTTGGTCGAGGGGGAGGGTTTCTTACTTGATTGTTCGACCTCTCAACGAGAGCACCATTGTTGGATAATTGATACCCATATTGTATAAACTAGGAGATTTGAACAAGAATGTAGTAGGGAAATGCGGAAGAAGAAGATGAATAATGTATAGAATGAATATTGGTTATATCAGTTGTGTAGCCTCCTAAAGGAGTATATATAGGGAAAATCCGGGTCTGGACCTCTAATATAGGCCTGACAGACCCGGTTACATAAAATGACTAATAATACAAAAAACTAATCTAGAACATCTGAATAATAATAATGTACAATAATATGAATGATATCCGCTAAACGTGTGTGGGCCGCTGTCCAGGCCCAGTAATCGGCAGACCGGGGGGTCAGAGTCCATATATTCCATCAGGAGTCCCCCACTCCCTGAGTCGAGAGTACTCGAGGCGAAAGGGAGTAGTCTAAACTGTATCTGCAACGTTCTTCTGTCTTTGATTTCTTCCTTTCCATCCGGGGGCCACCACCCTTGTCCGTGATGGGGAGGTGCCTCGTTAAAAACCTTTACTAGGAAAAAACCCTGTGGGAAAAATCCTAATAAAGGGAAAAAGAGTGCACCTAGCGCCCCCATCATGAAACAAGGAAGGTAAGTTCCCTCTGGCACAATCAATTTTGTCTAGCTCAGCTCCTCTTCATCCGACTCAGCTTTCGTTCTTGCTCATGCGTGATATTTTCTGCTCATTTAGAAACTCTGACCTCTCAGTCCCCCAGTCCCCCACTCTTTGAGGCGAGTGGAGTCGAGGTGAAAAAGAGTAAAGTCATCTTCGTACCTACACATTTAGCATGCATATAAATTTTTTCTTGGGGTTTATGTTTCCGATTGGGAGTTCGTCATTTGAAAAAAGTGGAAATGTGAATTGTTGATGTAATGATAAAATACTTAGTAGAGTGGGCGTGTGAGCCATTCATATGCAACGGTCGCCACTCTTGGAATGACTAAGACCGATCTTCGTGCCTGAGGAGTCAGGGCTTTGTGCCTGAGGAGTGAGGGCTTTGTGTCTAAGGAGTCAGGGCGTTGTGCCTGAGGAGTCAGGGCTTTAAATCCTAGTGATGGGTCTCAACCCACAGTCTACTAGGCATTTGATCATAAGTGCGTGATAGTGTGACATTCGCCCGAGAAAAAAATGATTTAAATAAATATAAATAATATGGTATTTAAAGAATACTTATCTTTTCATGGGCTGAAATTAATGGGCTGAGAATTGGTAAGCTTTTGATTGGACTCTCGTGGTTCTAAGAGTTTCGTGGGATCAATTTAGATTCCTCTCTTCATTTTGACTTGGTCAAACTGGCCATCCATCATGTTGCTACAGTCCGCCATCTTATCTTATCCGAAGCAGGCAACTTCCTCCTACACCAAGTCTTTTCATGAGTAGATTTCATCACAACTTGACTGGCCATCTTATCCGAAGGCAGGCAGCTTCCTCCTACGCCAAGTCTTCTCATGAGGAGATTTCATCACAGCTTCGCTGGTGGGTTTTATCCGATGTCGACGAAGAGAGGGGGGCAAAGGAATGCTTGGGCATTTGGATCCACCGTCGCCGCTGCTCTCAGGGGGATCTCCGACTCTTGCTGCAGAAGAGAGCGGCGGTAGAGAAATCCGAAAATGCAACTCCTTCGTCGTGGTGGAGCTTCACCGCCGGAATGGGGCCGCTTCAGAGCCGGAGGTCGCGAGGCTGAGCAACTGCTTCTTAGACGTTTCTACTGCTGGGTGAGAGGCGTCGTCGGTGGATGTCGCTGCTGCTAAGCGTGAATTTTCCAACGACTGTGTGGCTCCGATTGGGCTTTGCCGCTGGATCTACAATTTGGGTTGGGAACTGAGCTTCGTCCACCGTCGCTAGAACTGTACTCGCCATTAATGGCTGGCTCGCCATTAAAATATCATGTTTTTATTTTTTAGTAACTAAAATAAAAAATTTATTCTAATATTTTACATTATGAAATCAATATATATATATAACTCTCTTAAGTTTTTTTTTTCTCAAGTACTACTTAATAAATAAGTATAAGGACATAAAAATCCAAATAATAAATAAATTTAAAAAGTTAATATTAATTAAATTGAAGCTATGAAATAAATGATTATAATATGAAAAAAATTAATGAATTATTTTGATATAAATTTAATAATAATAAAGCACCGTTTTCTCGTATTTTGATCAACTTCTTCAACAGAGGGGATTTCGTTGTATTTGTCTATTTAATTTGACACCACTCTATTGTATGGTTTTTCAATTTATGTATTGCATGTATACTATGGATATTTTTTGAAACAATTTCCAATGTATGATTTGCGACTTTTAATATGAAATGTCCATAGTAACTTTGACTCAGCTCACAGAAAATAGTTTTATAATTAACGTTACAATCAAGCGAAGTGGTTTTCGTAATAAGGTGACACTTTTTCTAATCACAACCTTCTTTTTCAATTTTTGTAGTCATGCATTTATCTTTGTGTTTTAGTCAATGTTTTTGTTACCATTTGTGCAGGAGGCTGATTTTTTATATCAAAGTTAAAGTGGTGAAGAGTATGGAGGTCGTACAGGTTAATATTGACTCTATTTTTCCCTTTGAATTATCATGACTATTATTTTATCTACTTCTACTAATTACTTCTACTAATTAAGGTTGTTGTCTTAGAGTCTAATAATGGTAAAGTCTGTTTGGACCTTTGTGATGAGATTTAATTTGATGTTTTTTCATTGTAAAAGACTTACTTTAAATCAATGTGTGAAATGAGAATTTACAACCAAACAAGTAGCTATGCAACAATCACTAGTCCTTGGATCATATGAAAGCCAATCTGTGAGAAATAATAACAGGCTTACCTGGACTGGTAGCCCTGACAGTATATATATAAGAAATAAGTATCTGAGTACAATTAGGAAACTACCTAATAATTAATACTTATTTAATTCTACACTATTACACCCCCTCAAGCTATGCAAGAGGAACTACGCGTAGATTGTCTCGAAGAAATAAAAACTGCTGAGGAGCCAATTTTTTTGTAAAAATATCAGCCAACTGAAACTTCGTAGGAACATACTGCACCAGGAGATCACCATGAGCCACACGTTCACGAACAAAATGATAGTCAATGTCAATGTGCTTGCTGCGAGCATGCTGAATGGGATTAGCAGATAAATAAGATGCAGAAATATTATCACATAGAAGCCGAACCGGACGATGTATAGGAAACCCAAGTTCGAAAAGTATGGACCGAATGTGTAATGTATCTTGTACTGTGTAGGCAATAGCTCTATACTCAGCTTCTGTAGAAGATCTGGAGACAGTGGGTTGCTTCTTGGAACGCCATGAAATCAAATTAGGACCCAGAAAAATAGCATATCCTGAGGTAGATCGACTGCTATCAGGACAACCAGCCCAATCAGCATCAGAGTATGCAACAACAGAGGTGGGTCGTGCGGAAGGCTGAAGTTGAAGTCCATGTGTGATAGTGCCCTGAAGGTACCTGAAAATTCTCTTGACAGCAAACATATGTGAAGTACGAGGAGCATGCATAAATTGGGATACCAAGTGAACAGCATATGTAATATCAAGTCTAGTCATAGTCAAATACTGCAATGCACCTACCATGCTACGGTACTTAGTAGAATCAGAAAGTAACTCACCATCAGTGAGACAATTTAGTTCTATTTGGTAGCGGTGTGCGAACGGGTTTCAGTGTATGAAGATGAAATCTGGATAGAAGATCAGACACATATTTGGCTTGAGATAAGAATAAATCTGATGAAGTACGCACAGCCTGAACCCCAAGAAAAAATGAAGATCACCAAGATCCTTCATTGCAAAATAATTTCCCAAAAGAGATAAATTTCTGAATGAGTGAGGAGGAATTGCCAGTAACTATAATGTCATCCACATATAAAAGTAAATAAATGATGCTAGTGTTATGACGAAAAATAAACAGAGAATTATCAGCACGACTGCAAAGAAAACCATTTGTTAAAAGGAAGCTACTAAAACGATAAAACCAGGCCCGGGGAGCTTGCTTAAGACCATAAATGGCCTTGCGCAAGCGACAAATGTGATTAGGAAAATGTGGATGAATGAATCCCGGTGGTTGATGCATGTATACCTCCTCTGTGAGATGACCATGAAGAAAAGCATTTTTAACATCAAGTTGACGAATGGGCCAATTATAAGATACGGCTAAGGTGAGAACTATGCGAACGGTGGTGGGTTTAACAACAGGACTAAAAGTTTCAGAAAAATCAATCCCAGCTTGCTGTTTAAAACCTTGAGCAACCAGACGTGCTTTATGCCGTTCAATAGAGCCATCAGATTGATACTTAATTTTATATATCCATTTAGACCCGACCACATTTTTACCAGAAGTAAACGGTACTAATTCCCATGTATTATTAGCAATAAGTGCATTAAATTCCTCAGCCATCGCAGCCCTCCATTTTAGATCTTTATTTGCACCAGAAAAACAGGTAGGATCAGGAATTAAAACCCCAGTATTTAAATTAAAAATTGTTTTGGGTTTAAAAATTCCCGATTTTGATCGAGTTTGCATGGGATGAACATTAGTAACACTCAAAGTTTCGCCTGTGGTAACCTCACGCGCAGAACACGGAGATGTCGTCGACACCGTGCTGGATGGCGACCCCGGAGTGGACACTGCACCCCCTGCCGACGAGGCAGGTGAGCTAGGTTCCGAGGAGGCATACTGCGGAGCCGAGGAGATACCGGGCTGCTGTGGGCTGTTTGACGTATCTGAAAAATTTGGCGGGGACAGAGATAGTAGCGGTTGATCAGTAGGTGGTGCAAACACCGGAGAAGACATAGAGATGGACATAGAGCTGGACGGAACAGGTGCGGACTCAGAAGAAGTGGTGATCACTAATTTATTGTATGGAAAAATATTTTCGTGAAATTTTACATGACGACTGACATAGATTCGTCCCGTTTTAGGATCAAGACACCTGTACCCCTTATACTCAGACGCATATCCCAAAAACACACATTGTATAGACCTAGGAGAGAGTTTGTTGGCAGATGTTGCCGTAAAATTGGGGTAACAAGCACATCCAAACACACACATAAAAGAGAAATTAGGAGACCGGTGAAATAATTTTTGATACGGAGAAAAACCAGTAAATTTGGTGGAGGGTAATCGATTAATAATGTAAGTAGCTGTCAAAACAGCCTCAACCCAAAATGTAGCTGGTAAACCAGCATCAATAAGCATGGTGCGGGCAAGTTCAATGAGATGGCGATGTTTGCGTTCAGCTAAACCATTTTGTTGTGGTGTGTCAGGACATGATTTTCGAAAGAGAATGCCGTGATTATCAAAAAAAATCGCATACTGAAATTATCAAACTCACCCCCTCCATCACTTTGAAAATTTTTAATTTTGTGGTCTAGTAAATTTTCCACCAGCCTCTTAAAAGATTGAAAATGAGTAAAAACTTCACTTTTACGGCGCATAGGATATATCCATGTAAAATGAGAGTAATCATCAATAAACGAGACATAATATTTAAAACCATCATGAGACAACACAGGAGATTGCCAGACGTCTGAATGAATTAAAAATAATGGTGTTTTTGAACAATGAAAAACATCTTGAAAAGGTAATCTGTGAGATTTACCCAATCGACACGAGGTACAATCATGATTAAAAGATGAAAGACTACAAAGCTGACCAGACTTTCTAAGACTATCTAAAACACGAGTGCCACAATGCCCCAACCGGCGGTGCCATAAAGGTCCAGGTGCCGCATTAGAAGCAAGTGCCAGAACAGAAGATGAAGGAACACGAATGGGATAGAGACTGCCGCTACTGGAAGCCTGCAGAAGAATTGCCCCCGTTGTTTTGTCCTTTAGAAAAACAGATTTTTTGTCAAAAATTACCATGCAATTATTATCAGAACACAATTTTTGTACAGATAGTAAATTATATTTTATCTGCGGCACATGATAAACAGATCTTAGATGAAGAGGCTTTGATGCGGAATTAATAAAAATATCACCAACATTTTTAATGGGAAGGGTGATACCATTTGCAACAGTAACATTTAATGGTCCAGAATAAGTAGATTTATTTACTAGTGTACCTTCCTGAGGAGTCATATGGGCAGAGGCACCGGAGTCTGGAAACCAGACAGCGTCATGTGAATCACTCATAGGCGCAGCCAGTGCTGGAGCTGAGGGCTGGGAGAAACGAGAGGGACACGAAACAGCAGAGTGACCTGGAGAATAACAGATTTGACAGACAATTGGCGGGGGAATAGAACCAAATTGGCCATCAACTAACGGGGAGCCTGCAGATCCATAATTAGTAACACAAACAGAATAGGGATGCGTATTAAACGATGAATAAACTGTATTACATAATACTGTACCTGGCCTGCCCGGATGTGAAGACTGCTGTGGAGAAGGCTGATAATATGGCTGCTGAAAATATCCCCCTTGCGCTGGTCCTGGCCGTGAGTGATAATAGGCAGGAGGCTGAGCTGGAAACCCTTGCTGATACTGGCCGTACCCGCGACCACGACCACGGGAACCCCGCCCTCTCTGTCCACGTCGACCTCTGCCGCGGTGATTCTGGAAACCGCCTCGGGCGTCGGGCCCTGGAGCAGCAGGTGCTGCCGGGTGAGCAGCGAATGCAGTGGGGCTGGCGGCAGCTTCTTGGGATCTAAGATAGAGAATTTGTTGCTCCTGTTGGACCAGTCGCTCGCGTAGTTTATCAAAAGTCAGACCTTCGGGGAACGAGGATAAGGTTGTAATGATGGACTCATATTCAGGACCCAGGCCAAGCAAAGTCTGTTCTATAAGGTCTTTCAGAGAAACCGGGGAATTGATAGTAGCAAGAGCATCAGCAATTTTCTGTATTTCACGCATATATTGTTCCATAGATTGGTTCTCTTTCTTTTTAATATTAGTAAATAATCGTTTTAACTCCATGGAACGAGCCAAACTGGCTGCCATAAAACGCGACTCCAGACGGTCCCATATAATAGATGAAGTTTTGAGGGTATGAACTTCAACGAGTATATCACGTGACAAAGTAGCAAACAGCCATGAACGGACTGTTTGATCTAACTTTAGCCAGTAAAAAAACTCATTGTTAGCGATTTCTCTCCGAAGATTATCAAAAGTAGTAGAAGGAGGAGGAGAAATTGTACCATCAAGAATGCCCATTAATCCATGAGATACCAGAAAGGACTCGAATTGTGTGCGCCATGGAAGGTAATCTTCGACAACATCAAGCTTGGTAGTGACAATATTGGTGATGTTGGGGGCTGAAAATCCCATAGATTGAGCAATAGACTCAAGAGAACCGACTGCCATGGAGGGAGGAGGACGTCCAATCGCCCGGAGAGATGCGGGAGGAGCCAAACCTTGTTGGCCAGCCATGGTGGCACCACCGAACGGTGCCCTGGATGAATCTGCCATGACCTGCGGATCGGAGAACGAAACAGCTGATTGCCGGGAAGGAGTCGGCGGTGACCAGTCGAACGTTGGCGGAACCCAGGCAGACATGTCCGGTGCGCTGCTCATCGGAAAAGGTCTGGAGAGAGACTGCTGCATCACGGAGGAGGAACAAAAAAACGGACCTGCCGGTGCCGTCGACATCATGGTTGACGGAGGCGTGGAAACGGCGGTCTGTGAGGATGAGACTGGCGGCGCAACCGTGTTGGTCCTGGCGGCGGCCGTGCTCATGGCGGAAGACGGAAAAGAGAAAAAAAAATTAATTAACTCTAGCCTCTGATACCATGTGAGAAATAATAACAGGCTTACCTGGACTGGTAGCCCTGACAGTATATATATAAGAAATAAGTATCTGAGTACAATTAGGAAACTACCTAATAATTAATACTTAATTAATTCTACACTATTACAATCACCCCTATAATTGTTTACTTCATTCGTCCCGAATTAAATTGCAATTTACTTATAGTAACTTATAGTCACATTTTTGTTCATATATTTTTTATTAGTAATACTTTAGAAAAACCTATAAAGTTAAACCATCCTTGCCTGTTAAGTCGGTTTTAATAATTAAAAAACTATTGAAAGTTTTATAAAGTCTCAAAATCCAAATTAAAATATAATTAAGAATTGATTTATTAAATAAGTAATTAAAGTGAAATGATGCTGATAAATAAATTGACTTTGCGCAAATCATCAGAGAGGATAGTATATTTCATTCTTTACAAAAAGTAGTACGTTTTTCATTCATAAACATTCAAATTAACATATGTACTTATATTGCATTGTATGTAAATGCATGTTTATTTTGTATAAGTTTAAAATTTCATGTTATTATTTTAAAAATACTATTAATTTAAAACATTTTTTAATATTCGACATTAAGATATCAGTATATAACTCTCATATGCTAAAGCACCAAAAAGCTTTTAATTTCTCTCGACCCCAAGTACTACTCAATATAATACACAACTATAAACAAAAGTAAATCTAAATAATAAATGAATTTAAAAAGTTATTATTAATTAAATTAATGCCACGAAATAAATTAATATAATATGCTAAAATAATTAAAATTAATGAAATATTTTGATATAAATTTAATTATAGTAAAGCACCGTTTTCTCGCTCTATGTATGAAAAATTAGTTCTTAGTTTTTTCATAACATGTTAATATTCTTCGCCAAATGTAAAATTAGATTTTTGAAATGATCAAAATGTTTTTTCTCAAATTTAAAAAAACGAATAGATTTATGATCGATATCCGCAAAACAATACGGAGTTTATATAATTTGATCAAACGTTGCCATCAATAATGAAGAATAAAGTTAATTATTGATTTTCCTGTCGATCACTAGCTGCTATGTTGTCGTGTTTTTCACTGTTTTATGGAATTAATTAATTTTATGTTATTTTTATGTTATGTTAATTTTATGGAGTTCGAAATGATGTTTTCAAGTAATTACATTAAAGTTAAAAGTTGTCACAAATGAGATGGTGCTTAAATTTTATTTTTATTTGTTTGATAACATTTTACTCAAATATCTTTACCAAATATTTCAACGTCTACTTTTGTATTGAAATCATTTCTATTTATAAACATTAATTAGTATCTTTTACCACTAATAAAGACTTCGTTCTCATATATAAAAACAAATACTAAAATAAGCCATTTTTTAAAATTACGAGTAACATCACATCATTTTTATTAATGGCTTTTCCACATTTATTCTGTCATTTTTAGAAATAATTTCAATTGCTGATAAATTAGTTTCATAATAAAATTAATTTATTGAAACACATTGTATATGGTGAGTTGTGGCCGAGTGAACGTGAACTCTGAACCCATTGCAAAAGTGTGCCTACATTCACTTTCTTGGCCATGGCGTATTAACTTTTTAATAAAAAATGGAACTTAATTATGTCAAATATTTGTCTCACACCGTAAAGCTATAAAATAATACGGAGTAAAACACTATATAAAACTTTTAGTTACTTCTCTTATCGGGTTGAACTTTTAGGATGAAACCACAAGACTTAACATATTATCAGAGTCAAACCCGATTGTGATTTGAGTGCTTGTTTATATTAACATTATTCATTATTAAGGGTGGCTTGTTAATTGAGGATATGTTTGGCCCATCTATATACACCCAATATTGTCCAGACCGTTCGGGCTAAAGGACGTGTTAAAATATTTGTCCCACATCGGAAAGCTATAAAATAATACAACACTAAATAAGACTTTGAATTACTCCTCCTATCGGGTTGAACTTTTAGGATATAACCTCAAATCTTAACAATATTACATTCCTCTCACACTAATGTTGTCTCTTCCTTTTCGTTTCGTACCATTATATTTATCTCATACGGAGTAACAAATTTGATAAGCGACTCGAAATCATTCTCGCTTTTCTTAATAACCGCTCACATGTTCACGCTATAATGTTATAAATGGGACGGAAGTAATACTAGTAGTATTTTCCCAGTAGCCATCATTCACGTAAGTATTACATAAATACGTTATACGTACATACATTATAGTATTATACATAGCTGATAGCTAGCTATATATAAGCCTATATACATATATCCCCAAATACGTCTTGCCTATATATCGATCTTTAATTCGGCATTTAACCATAACTCGTTTTAATTTCTTTGTCAAGGATGTTGGGCAAAAAAGAGAATGGTTTCAGCACATTAAATCAAGAAGAGATAATTGAGGAATTTGAGTCGTTGACAAAGGATGCTGGGAAAGTACAAGAGGAGATTCTAAAGAGGATCCTTCGAGAGAACAAAGAGATCGAATATCTGCGGCGGAAATGCGGTCTTAACGGAAGAACAGACCTCGAGAGCTTCAAGGCGTGTGTTCCTCTTGTCATCCACAAAGATTTGGAGCCTTACATTCAGCGGATTGCTGATGATGCTTCCTCTCATATCCTCACCGCCAAACCCGTTACTGCCTTGTCTTTGAGGCATGTATCGTCTTTATATCCACCCTTTGGATTAATTAAGAGTCGTTCTAAATTATTTTTACTTTATATTTTGATGTTATAAATCAAATTTTATCAATATAAATTCATTTTTTTAATATCGACGTATATTAACGTATTTTAACGAAATTATAATAACGAGTAAATTAAAGTGCAGGTCATACACACAAAAAGCCATTTTTGTAATAAAATTCTGTTATATATGGATCAACATGAGCTTTAATTTTGTGACTTATTAGTCTCTCCTAAGATGAATAACTAATTAATTAATATCATACCCTTTTTATGAATGCATGGGTTCATCCCTAAATAATCTATGTTATTCTAGTATTTAAATTTATTACTAGAATGGCACATTTCTTCAAATAAGACCATCATTATTTGGTTTTATCAAAATATGGATGACTCATTCACTTTTAATTAAAAGAATAGTTTAACTGTTATTCTTTTGTTAGGACTAAAAACAAGTCAACATTTGATAAAACATAATTAGTCAATTATATATTAATATATATAGTTTATGCTTTACTTTAATTTTATTATTATGTTAAGCGTAAGACTTGTATGTTATTGTTGTTGTTTTACTCTTAGCTTAGTATGTTGAACTCATTTCATAATTATTTATTAGTTGGACTTAATTAATTTATTTGGACTAATTTGGGTTTCTGTGTTTGTGAAGCTCTGGAACCACTCAGGGGAAGCAAAAGTTTGTACCATTCACTGATGACATGTTTCATTGTGCATTGTTTATATTTAAAGCCTCCTTTGCTTATAGAAACAGGTAATTTTTTCATTTTCTAATGCATTCGGTCCTTAAAATCTTAAAATAAGTATTCATGCATTTTGGAGAAATTAAAAATTATAACGTGTCATTACTTATTTGTTCATAAATCATCAAAAGCCCACTTAATATTTTTTGGGTATTAACAAAATCATATATATATATATATATATATATACACAAAATAAATGTAACTTTAATTTGAGTTTTATGCTATAATAATGCTATATAATAAAAATCATATTTATTTCAATTTATGAGTTCGGTATTCCACGGTGTACTTAGACTGAGGCATGGGTTTGATACTCAGATTATAGAACTATATACTCAGTAAATATGAAAAATATTCGTAATCATATACTCGGTAACAAAAAGAAAATGCAATGACGACATTTGATGATGGTTAATGGGTAAATAATTAAGTTTGTTTTAACTCTCATATTAGGCTCAAAAAAGTTATACAAAGATAAATTTAAAATTTTCTAGTAGAATTTTGCAACGTAGTCGTTAATAACTTTTTTTCTAAGTAGACTAATTTTGGAGTTAGAAATAAATTACAAACAAAATAGTGCGTACTATAGGGATGTTGAGAAATTGAAAAACAAAACGCAAGGATCCAAAATAAAGTGTGTCATATTAATTACAGAGACCAAATGCATATTTAAATTGTAATAGAATACGACAAACCCTTTTGAAACGACTATATATGAAAAAATGATAAAACTTCTTGGAATTAAGCTAGGGAGTATGCAACATGCTTTTTAATATAGTAACACGATTTATGATGTTATGAGCGTACTTATATGTGAAGAGTGATAAAAAGAAGTCTGTGAGCCACATTATGTAACAATTAAGAATAAGAATTTCAGAGTGGTTTTTAGTCTTCAGAAATCATGTTTAGGGAATTAATATGGGAAAGGTTGCGAGAATGATGGCTTAGACAAATCAGATCTAGTCTGACCTGAGACTGAAAACAATCTTAATATGTTGACGCCTCTTGGTTACTAAAATTGAACAATGGTTCAGATAACATATTAAGAATCTAACTTTTGCTACATATAAAAGTGAAGGAATAGCTCAGAATTTTATGCTGAGTATTTTGATTTGTATTTTCATACTACGTATGCATATGATTGGGATAACTCAATAGTGATAAAGAATTTTTTCCACTTTCGATTCCCGACTATTGTGTCAGTCACATTTTTGGAAACCTTTTAGTTTTTTTCATTTTTAGTTCTCGATTACTGTGCGAGAGACACTTTTAGTCATCAACTTTAAAGTTTTTCACATTTAATTAGTCCCTGAATATTATCAAATTGATGTTTCTAGTCCTTCCACTATGATTTTGACATAATAAGTGGAGGACTAAAAATGTCACTATTATAATAGACTTAATAATTGAAGGACCAGAAGTGTCACTTTTATGAAAGTCAAATAACTTATTATGAAAATTTTCAAATACGAGAAACAAAAATGTCTTTCACACAATAGTGGAATATCTAAAAGTGAAGAAAAAATCAAAATTGAGTATCCAAAGTGTCAGCGATATAATAGTTGGAGGGATAAAAATGGCAAAAGCTTTAGTGATAAATTATTTTGTTTAAATATTATTGTAAAAAGGATATAAAATAAGTATGTATATCCACTCTCTTTTTATTCCTTTATGCGCTTAAAAGTGGTACTGATTTAGCTATATCTGTGTTCTTTACTTCTAGAAACATTTCTTTGTATCTTTATTACTTGATTCTTGTGCAATATTGCTTATGTGCAGAGAATTCCCAATTGGAAATGGAAAAGTTTTGCAGTTCTTATACAGTAGCAAGCAGCTGAAAAGCACCAAGAGTGGGTTACCAGCTGCCCCAATATCAGCTCATGTGGTCAATAACCTACAGTACAGCCAAATGTTACAGGGAATGAAGGCTCCCAGTTGCAGCCCAAGTGAAGTGATCTACAGCCCTGATTTTCACCAGTCATTATACTGTCACCTTCTTTGCGGACTCATTTCTCGTGACCAAATCCATTTCATAACCTCCGTGTTCGCTCACGGCATTGTTCTTGCCTTTCGAACCCTCGAACAAGTGTGGGAAGAGTTGTGCACTGACATTCGGGAAGGCGTTCTTTCGAGCCGTGTCACGATCCCCTCCGTTCGGGATGCCATGTCATCGAAGATCCTCGTCGCACCCGACCCTGAGTTGGCGGGCACGATCTATGAGAAGTGCAAGGCACTGATGGAGAATGGGTGGTATGGACTGATCCCGGAGCTGTTTCCTAATGCAAAGTATATTAGTTCAATCTTCACTGGGACCATGCAGCCTTATGTGAAGAAGTTGAGGCATTATGGAGGGGAGATGTTGCCTTTGATGAGCTCAGATTATGGGGCTTCTGAAGGGTGGGTAGGGTTTAATGTGAACCCTAAAGATCCACCAGAGGTTGCTACCTTTGCAGTGGCCCCAAATGTAGGGTACTTTGAATTTATTCCTTTGAAAGATGGTTTGGAGTTTGAACCTGTTGGTTTGACCCAAGTCAAAGTTGGGGAGGACTATGAAATTGTTCTCACAAATGGCACAGGTACACCTTAAATGCTTTTACTAACTACTTAATTAAGAGTTTATGGTTTGTGAAATTGATCAAATCCATTTTACACTACGGAGTATTAATTAATCTGATAGTCGTTCAATATAATTATATTCCTGATTCTTTAATTCGAATCTTGTAAGAATAACAATTTTATTCTCTTTAGTTGAGAAAATTCTTCAAGTAGGATTAAAATATAGACAAATAATATGATATCCATTGTTTTCTTTAATGTGATATCCATTGTTTTCTTTCTAACTAATATGAGACTCTTCACTTCTAACTAATTGAGAGAGTTTCATACTTTTAATATGATCGAATAAGTCACATTTTGAGAATAAAACATAAATATTACTTCTTGTGCATTTCGTCTATGTTTTAGTCCTATTTTGAGCATTTACCTTAAAATTATATTATATAGTATCGTATTATACATGAACTAAATATCATGAAAGAAATTGCTATAGATAAATAAGATAAGAGTAATTCACAAGAAAAGTGTTCCAATAAGAGCAACACATTCTTGTCATCCTTATTCCATGCTAGAAGTATGATTCATTTAGTCACAACAGACTGCTAAACGTAGTCAAAACGTCTTTCGATAGTGAAGAAGTGTTGTTTTGATGAGCAAAAACAATGTTTTATTCGGTGGAGGAAATCCGTTAAACTACGTATTTTAGAGTATTTCATTTTTGGACACCTTCTATTTTTTTCTTAGACAAGATTTCTAAATAGGACCAAAGTGTAACACAGTCTAACTTATCAAATAAGAGTATCAGTGATTTATTGCGAAATATGACTATTTCTCTCCTAAAAGAAAAACTTTGTTTTTATTTATTTTTTTAATCAGTCCTGTTTTGAAAAGAAAGCATATACAATCCTACTTTAGAATTTTGTTAATGTTTTACTCATATTTTGAACAACTATTTAAAGTCTTAATAAAGTATTCATGTTTTACTCCTACTATATGTAATATCTTTTTTATTACTTCTTCCACCGTACAAGTTAAAGATACATCATGCTTGACCTTTTTATTAACAATGTTGGATTTTGACCAATTATATATGTATAAAAAACTACTTTTTTTTTTACTGAATGTATAAAAAATACTCCGTATTACATATTAATAATATGAACACACAATGTTTGTGGTAAAAATGTCGTAAAAAAGTATAGATTTTATAAAATCACCGAAACATACATTCAGGGCATACTAGGCTCCAATCTATCCAAAATTTGTACGAACCCAGCCCATAATACTCTCCTGGCTACCCGGATACAAACATTGACCAAAGTTTAAGACCAAAAAAATTATGAAGAAATAAAAACTGAAATGACAATATAATGTACTATAAGTACATGATGCATTTAATCATCTAATCCTAATGCAAATATGCATGCATGCAGGAATGTATCGGTATCGCCTGGGAGATATAGTGAAGGTGAAAGGCTTCCATAACTGCACCCCACTGCTCCAATTCGTTGGCAGGAAAAGTCTTATCCTCAGTATCGATATTGACAAGAACACAGAGGAAGATCTCATACTCTCTGTGGAAACAGCTGCAAAAATCTTAAGCAGCAACCCATCATCCAAGATTGAGTTACTTGACTTCACAAGCCATGTCAACACATCATCATATCCAGGCCATTACATTATCATCTGGGAATTGAGTGGGGAGGCAATTGATCATCAAGTTCTGCAAGAATGCTGCAACTGCTTGGACCTTTCTTTTGCAGATGCTGGGTATAATGTCTCTAGAAGGGTCAAGACCATTGGTCCGCTGGAGCTTCAGGTGGTGAGGAAAGGGACATTCAACAAGGTTCTGAATCACTTTGTAGGTATGGGAGCTACTCCAAACCAGTTCAAGGCTCCAAAGTATATCCCAGAAACTAATGAGGCAGTTATTGGGATATTAAGAGACAATGTGGCTATGACTTTCTTTAGTACCGCATATCCTTGAAGTTGTAATAGCCAGTGCCCCCGTGCTTGGCTCGAAATAAAACACAAAACATGGGAGTACTACCTTTTGTGGGACATAAGTTTTAAAGTTTACTATTCATATAGTCAATGGAACATAATCTATTCTTAATACTTCTTATATACTATGATAATTAAGCATTTATAATGTTAATTCATCTTTGAAGATATCTAAACTAGTACTGATAATTTAATTTACGTATTCATAAATTAATGCATGATATAAAACTATCATGTAAAACAACATACTAGAAGAAAGCTAAACTGAACGCAAACTAATAGTTCAATTGGGACAGAGAATGCATTATTTCATGGTGCTCTAGTCTATGTGTGTATAACTTGTTTAATACTGGTCTGGTTATGTCTAAAATATCATATTATGTATAATTGTTATTAGTTAATGCTAGTTAAAACACCAAAGCAATTTTAGAGTCCATTTTGAGCATCGAAATGCTATGAAAACATAGTAGATACAAAGTTATAGAAGAAACTTGGTGAGAAGGAAAATAATGAGAAAAGTAACGTATTGGTTCAAATTCAATAATTTTATGATTGCTATTTGTTTACTTTCATTTTTAAATTTGTTTCTTATATATAAATACAAAGAAATCTAAATAAGTAACAATTGAAAAACATTGATCATACTTCATTTTTCTTCAGATTTCAGATTTCCGAGGTAAAACCATATGCATCAATGCAAGAAAATAACTTTTTGAACATTTTCTTTCTTTTCTATATCACTTTCCAGGTTCCAAACATAACCTTAGGGTGGCCTTTTAATCCCTTTTTGTTTTTCTAATAAATATGTGACAATCTTTTATTCACACAATTGGCCTCCTTGTACAATCTGTCAAAAAAAAACGTGGAATATATTTGGGTTTATTCCTTTCCCATGCGTGTTTGTTTCCCTCTATCTCTAATGCAATCCATGTATGTAGTGAATGAATTGTGCTACATCGGTTCTGATATTGCGCAAGGCAATCAAGTAGCTGTACATTTACATGTATCTATATATGTACGCATTCATAGTGTTGATCAGGTATGAACTTCGGGATGAGTTTCTGTCTGAACTAATCTAATTTAAACTGTTGGATGATAATGTATGTCCCATATCTAAGATTCTTTAAATTACCTTTACCTTTTCAATGACGATACTCAAACATGACTTTTACCTTCTCGTTGACGATCATAAACCACAAACTTTACCTTCTGTATGACGATCTTGAAACAGGAATCTCAGAGTTTGAGTAGAAGCTATTCTCGAGAAGCTGAAGTTGTGCTCTTCTTTGAAATACAAGGCTCTTCAATTACAGATGCTAATTGATAGGTAATGAGTAAGAATAGCTTACTTTTTTCGTCTATATTCATCTGGGGCAAAAGTTGAAAAGCTTGTTGATGCTGCATATGAATGTGTACAAAAACTGTAAAAAGAAGAAGTTACCCATATGCTTATGGTAGATAGTTTCAACAGTACATTGTTAGAATAAAAACTATACCCTGCCAAAAACATTGCTAAGTTCAGAGTCAAAGACTACTACTTGACTGCCCTTTTGAGAAGTGCAACTAAAATTCAACTTATTCAAGTTTTCAATCTTTCATAGAGGATTGGGGTGGTTAGAAGTCCCCTTTAGATTGACAATTTTCTTGGTCCATACAATCTACACGTGTTATGATATTTTACTTGAGAAATGGCCCGGTCCGTTGTAAAGTTTTCTTCTGATAATATGACGATTTCTTATTTTAGAGATGTAGACAAGTGCAATTGGAGGCCATTGTATTTGATAAATTTGGAATGAATCTATTTTCCTATGTTTGTATTACAATACTCTAGTATTTTTCAAACTCACCCTTGATAAATCTCAATTAGGGGAGTGTTTGCTATTGCTTAAAAAGGACTTCTGTTTGCTAAAAAGGTTGAAATTATGTTTCGCAATTTTAGGCAATTTTAAGAAGTTTAAAGCAAAAATAGAAGTAATGGAATGAGTGCTTGTAAATGCGTTTGACTCTAAAACATACACAAAAACACCCGGCTACCAAACAATCTATGTTTGGCTTTTCCAAAATCACTTTTCTTTTAAGAAATTGTCCTAAACAAAAGTAAAGATTTCTAGTGTTCCAAAATCGGAGTCCTATATGGCTATATTTTTATTCCGTGACTATGGGTAATTATGGGTCAACCTGAAAAAATATAAAGCTATGACAATATATAGTTATGTTTAAACAGAAGTAAAGATTTCTAGTGCTTTTTACTTATGACAATATATAGTTATGTTTAATAAAACTTGATAAATGATAATGATTAAGTTGTTGGCAGTAACCTACTCCTACTTATGAGAACAAATATAATACTCTTTATTCGGGAATATTTCCTATTTTTTGCAAAATTCACTAGTACAAAAAAGGCTTTTCACATCGGTCAAAAAAGACTTTTCACATCGGTCAAACAGCCGATGTGGTTCCAGCACATGTGAAAAGTATTGACTTTTGACATCGGTCAAACAGCCGATGTGAAGAGTCTTTCTACATCGGTCGTTTAGTGCCCGATCTAGAAGATAGTCCGAAACGGCGTTTTTAATGATTTTTCACATCGGTTATAACCCATGTAGAAGAGAAACCACATCGGTTATTTTACAACTGATGTAGAAAAACTTCAATTTTTCCCGGAGCATAGGTTTTTCACATCGGTTATAACCCATGTAAAAACGAAATCACATCGGTTATTTCACAACTGATGTGAAAAGCTTCATTTTTTTCGGAACATGTGTGTTTCACATCGGTTATAACCCATGTAGAAAAGCAATCACATCGGTTATTTCACAACTGATGTGAAAAGCTTCATTTTTTTCGGAACATGTGTGTTTCACATCAATTATAACCCATGTAGAAAAGCAATCACATCGGTTATTTCACAACTGATGTGAAAAGCTTCAATTTTTTCGGTATTTTTCACGAAAAAAATTTGCAATATGACCTCTGTTGCACAATTATAGCACAATTTTGACCTGTTCACTTGATCCAACTAAAACAATAACACAAGCTATTTTTCAATTCTTCCACAAATATTAAACAAGTTCAAGTAACAACTTAGTACATAATAATAAACTAAAATAAACTAATCCTTGCACAAGTCTAGAGTAATAACCCATTGTATAAAGTTACAAGTCTCATCATCACTCAAAAACTTAAACAAACACGTTCATCATGTGTCGTTGATGGATTGTGTCATTTCTAAGAAATATGATGCCCAACGAGTTCGTACTTAATCAATCTCTTCTGATGAGAATGGTTCCGGATTGGCGAATCGCTACAAATTATATAAGAAGGTTATTAAAAAACATTACATGTGGTGCAAACCTATTGAATGTAAATAAAATAATAACGTACCTCATCCCACATTTCAAGAATTACCGCCGAAACAATATTCAAAATATGCAACATCACATAATAACCATATTCATAACTCCCAACTTGCATCTGAGACTAAAAATTAGAACATAATTACTAATCAGAAATTACGGTATTCGACTTGGTGCTACACAAATGAAAGTAAAAATAGCATACAAAGTAAAGTAGTAAGTATTTACCATAGGAATAATCCATTTCACTCTTCCCTTTCTTGAGTTGAGCCTACAGCTTGCCTCCATTGCACTATGTAATTTATAATATTAAATATATATATAATAATAATAATTTATTTATGTAATTAAGATATACAATATATATTTAAAAATTAAATAAAACGGAATGTACAAAATACTTACGCATCAATAATACTTACGTTTGCACCTCATTTACAGAATCGCCTACTTCTTGAATGGTGTGTGGATCAATGAATCCATACACATGACCAATATTTCTGGATATGCACAAGCGGTGTAGATACCTAACACAAAAAGATTCAAGTAAATAAAATGCTATTTTAACTAATTCTCTAAAACTACCAAAACCCATGGATGGTTTTCTGCAAATGAGCTTCATGCTCTAACATTCTCCTAAGTGTAGCCTCCTTTGACTTGTGAAACATTCTTGGCCCTATAAAAGAAAGATAGAGAAGACACTTAGGAAATGCATTATAAAACCTCAAGAAAGTGGCAAGAGCTTACCAAATGGAATGTCAAGGGGCTCCCTAGAAGCAACATCGGATGAGCTTAAACTTGTTGATGACTTTCCCATATCCAGATGGTGCAGTTTTTGCCTTCTAATATTTTACAATTATAAAATGAAGCAATTTTAATCCCAGTGAGAGAGAAGTCACACAGACATTACAATTTAGAGGCGGTAGGTGATTTTTTTACAAGTACCTATTCTTGTCGGAGGTTTTTTCCATTTCCTTGTAGGGTTTAACAAGAACACGAGAGTCACACACATAATGAAGGGTTTCCTTTGGCTAAGATTAGCTTCACAGTGTCCGCATAGACAAACGTAACAAAACCAAACATCCGCTTCTGCTGAAATAGAATTCTAACATCTTGCACTGGCCCATACATACACAGTATATATAATTTTAACACAGTATATATAATTTTATAAACACAAGAATCAATCGTTACCTAAAGTAGCTAGAGACATCCTCTTCAGTGAATGTGCTATCAACTAGAAATGTCAAGTAAATCTGACAAGAACTTGGATTTGAGTACCCATCAGAATTGCCTCCCAAGAGATCACTGATCATCGGTCCCGACCTGAAATTCAGAAAAAAACAGCTGTGAGGCCAATGCAAGGCTTTCTGTTACAAATTTGATGGTTAATTCACAAGGTTGTTGCATAATAATAGACACAAATGATACAACTTAGATTGCACAAATCAATAGCAGGTGATGCAGTCCTTGGGTTATTGGGAGAAACCTTACTCAAAGTTTCTGCCCGTGCAGTAACCTGCTTGACAGTAGGCATTTGAGCAGGTTGTCCAGGTCTTGGAGTTAGCTCTTTCACTCTAGGGTTGCTTTCAGAAATTGTTAGCTCAGTCACTTGCTCCCCAGACGGCTTAAGCAAAGAATCAATCCCCTGCATCAAGGCTCTTCCTGCACCATTAGCTTTAGACTTTGAGAGTCCATTAGTTTTTGCCTTCACAGCATCAGCATCAGCCGGAGGCTTCTCTTACAGTTTCATTAAGTTTACATTGCTCAAAGTAGGGAAATCATCATCTGACTCTTCCAGAACAGAGAATCTGGATGAAGAGTGTGTTTTTCGAGACCCTTGTTTATTTGTCGCCATAGTAGCATAAACTGCAGTCTAAAACAATTGCAGGTGAAGTCCAAACTAGAACACACTGTAAGCTATTCGTCGATGTAGCAGTAGTCAGGTCCGTCAACAAGACTCAGTCGCAAGTGACTCCCACTTCTGGCCGCGACCTAAAAACCATCCCCACCATCAACGAGTAAGTCACTGAGCTTCGTCCTGGCACGGCGAGTCCCACACAAGTCTCAAAAACCAGAGAAACTCCCCAAATTCAAAGAATCAACCTCAAATTACAAACAACATGAACAGTACGAAAACTTCATTTGTTGCGTTTCTGGTCCCAAATCATCATTCCAAGCTCAAATCGAAGGTTGAAAGTGAGATTAGAACTAGATTCCGATTACAAACATAGCATATACAAGGATTAAAACAGCAAGACGGACGATTCTCAAAAGAATAATACACGAAAAGAACATACATGCTAGAGCTATTGCAAGCAACATCGATGCCAACTTTGTAGATTTAAGAATTTGGGAGTTACCGTAAATTGATGAAGATGATGACCTGCCCGCTGCTCGTTGGAACGCCCATCCGCCGTTCATTGGAACGCCCGTCCGCCGTCCGCCGTCTGCTTGAACGCCAGCCGCCCGCCCGCTGCTCTTCCTTCTTCGGTTGGTCTGTCTTGCATCCGATAGGTCTGAAATCGCTAGGTCTAAAATCGCAGAGATGAAATCAGGTTAAAATCAGGCTCATTTTTTTTAACTAATCCAGATCGGGTACCACCGATCTGGAATAAGATCCTTTTTTTGGCTTCCACATCGGTTTTAACCGATCTAAAATAAAGTTTCATTAATTCTGAAAAGTACCCCGTTTTTCTTTTCACATCGGTTCTAAACATAACCGATTTAGAATATTTTCTAAAATTTTAAAAAGTACCCCGATTTGGTTTTTAACATGGGTTATAACAACAACCCATCTAAAAAACTTTATAAAAATTATAAAAATGACCCCGTGTTAGTATTCTACATGGGTTTTAAAATAACACATGTAGATAAAGTGATGTAAAAAGGCTTTTTTGCACTAGTGATTATATATTAACTTTAACACTTAAATAAGGGAAATTTTATTAGCAACCATCATATATTTAATGGATACAAGTCATACAACCACCTATTTCAATAATGAATAAACTTATTCTCTAGTTCTCATTATACCCTTATCGAGCAACCATATCCAAAGTAGCCAAAGCTTTACTTTCTACTATGACCATCAGATTTAGGCCTTAACTTCTCTGTTAGGAATATTTCATGGTGTTCAATCTAATTAAATATCTTTGTATTTGTGTAATTATTAATTAAACGTGTAATACGGGCCATAAATGTGTATCAGCCCGTTAGCTTCCTTGTAACCCGTAAGTTAGCCAAATTCTCCTATAAAAGGAGGCTAACTTACGGGAACCCTAACTAACAATCGAGGCTTAGAAAGAATAGAGGTGAGATAGAGAGAATAGGGTTTCTGCTGCTCTCCTTCTCCAGGGAGAGCAGCGGGGTTTCATACGGTATACCAGATTTGGTTTTCATCTGCTATCTTTCTATCTGCTTCTTTTTAACTGCTTATGATTGTTGTTTGTTAAGTTTGATGGGATTATCAATTGGTATCAGAGACGAGGCGTGAAACAGGTTGAATGTATATGCGATTTTTTCCGATCTTACGAAGAACTGCTCTGCTTTTCTTCATATTTTCTTCAATATAGAGTTTTGCTCTTGTAATCTTGTTTGTGAACGAAAATCTGTAAAAATTATACTGTTGGAATCGCCTTTCAAAACAGATCCAACAGCATATCCTCTTTTTTCGATTTCTGCAAATTTTCTGTTTTCCTAGAACTCTACATGAATTGCGAGTTTATGCTTTTAAATGCCTGCAGAATCAATTTTTGACTTGAAACAGATACAGGAGAATCGCGACCTTCAGGGCTATTCAGAACAGTTTTCAGATTCTCAAAATTCGAAGTTTTCATTTTTGCAGGAACTCTACATCTTGGATCTCGAATTCCTAAACTCGGCACTTTTAAAATTGAGAGTTTTAAACTCGCGATCATGAACTCGAGTTTTAAACCTCGAGTTTAAACCTCGAGTTTTAAACCTCGAGTTCTGACCTCGAGTTTAAACCTCGAGTTCTGACCTCGAGTTTTAAACCTCAAGTTCTGACCTCGAGTTTTAAACCTCGAGTTCTGACCTCGAGTTTTAAACCTCGAGTTCTGACCTCGAGTTTAAACCTCGAGTTCTGACCTCGAGTTTTAAACCTCGAGTTTAAACCTCGAGTTCTGACTTCGAGTTTTAAACCTCGAGTTCTGACCTCGAGTTTTAAACCTCGAGTTCTGACCTCGAGTTTAAACCTCGAGTTCTAACCTCGAGTTTTAAACCTCGAGTTCTGACCTCGAGTTTAAACCTCGAGTTCTGACCTCGAGTTTAAACCTCGACTTCCGACCTCGAGTTTTAAACCTCGAGTTTTAAAATTGAGAGTTTTGGAATTTCGAGTTTCGGAATTTCGAGTTTTAGGAACTCGATGTTAAGGATTTCGACATTCTGAAAAATTTCAGAATTTTTGGAATTTCTAGATGTTTTGAATCTTTCAAAGTTTGCAGTTTCTTGAAACTCATAATTTGAATCTTGACATCCTTTGCAGTTCATCGAAGCTTTACATTATAGGATTTCTGAATGATTCCCTGCTTATCAAAGTTTTTAAAAGTTTTCGATGTTCTCATGTTTTTCAAACAAGTTTTTGATATTATGAGGTTTTCGAAACTCCAAAGTTTTCGATGTTCCAAACAATTTGAAATTCTGAAGATTTTGTTATTCTGAGGTCTGTTTTGCAGGTGGATTTCGCCATTACTCTTCAAGGTAAACTCGAAATTAAAATCTCGAGATTAGGATTTCGAGTTTTTGCCTTAGAATTTTGTTTAAATTCACCTACTCTCGAAATTCAACATCGAGAACCTCAACCTCGAAGAATTTCCTCAAAAACTCAAAATTAGAGATTTTCTGCGACACCGCATTGTTTTGGCCATAACTTTTGACTCGGTGATCCGATTTTAGCAAACTTTTTTTTGTTGGAAAGATAACGAAAAGATCTTCAATTAACAGTGATCTAATGCGCCCTCAATCGCAGTCCTTGAGGGTCAAAACGTTAGTTTTCCGACAAACTTTGTAAATCACCGATGTGTAGGTCAAAACTTAGGCAAATCTGATCAAATTCTTTCAAAGTCAAACCTAACGTCTCAGCTGCATTGTAGAGGTCTGAAAATAGTAGATAATTCAATCAACCTCGCGTCAACGGTCATCTTACAACAATCAACAGCAATGGACGCTATATCTCCTTAGCTTGTTCATGTATTTGTCAAACTCATTCTTCAAAAGATAAGGACAAAATTATCAAGGAATTGGAAGAGAGAAGAGCAAATAATCACAAAGTCCTACTGAAGTAGCTTGATAAGTCCATGATGTACTCCTAATTTACCATATTTATGATCTTGTTTTGTCACACTTTTAATATTTTATTTCTCATTTTTAAATTAAAAAGGATTGATTTTTATCATCTTGAACATTTTAAGGTATTGCACTTGTTTTGGTATATTTTTGAATTTCAGGATAATTCGGGATGTAAATTAAAATTCTGAAAAGAAATAAAATTACTCCCAAGTAAAGACGGAAAAACAACCAAAGTGAAGTGGGTCCTTACTTTAACTCTAAAATGTTTTATCAAGAGACCCGAATACATTTTTCAGAATAAACAAGATTGTGCGCAACAAAATGTACCGGTTAACTGCGGACCAGTTAATTGATCACACAGTCAACCGGCCATAGAAGTCATGGACAAAGAAATTAAACAGTGAAGGAAAAGAAATGTGGCCAGACTTGCGGAGAAAATAATGCAATGAATTAATTTGGCAAGGACCCATGCGTACAAGGCTAAGATATAATTGTATCCATGGCCAATCTCTCCAACCAATAACCTCATGCCATGTCATCAATTCTTTACCACCATACAGCCACATAGTCATCATCATCTTACCATCATGAGGAACGCAGCAGCTATCAAACTTCTTGCAGGAAATAAAACAAACTGAAGACTATTCACGGGAACTGTTGTTTCGGCGCCTAATGGGATTAGGCTAATCAATTTGCAACATTATTATTTCCACCAGCATCATTATTGAATAACCTTCAAGCTCAAGAGAGTTTGTGTTGCCTATATAAAGACACATTTTGGAGCTCGGAAAACACACCAATTCGGAGAGAAATCTCCTTCTTCTCTTCTTTAGCTTTGTTCATAGTAGTAGTCATATAATAAAAGTGATTCTGTCAAGAACACTTTCTGTAAATTTCAGTTTGTAATTTTCATTTCAAGAATTTTAGTTCTTTAATTTCAACAATCAAGTTCATTTGGGAAGTATCAGCCAGAATCATTCTCAGCTTAAGGATTTCACTTTCTCTATTCTAGCTCATTATTTATGCCTTCAGGTTCTTATTCAAATACTCATTTTATTTTCTTTGATCTGTTAAATTAATTATGCCTATAATTAGTTTTACTTTTATTTCGTTTACTGTAATTATGTGTAATTAAATTAGTTTAGGTTTGGGCAAGATGTAATTTTTGCTGTTAATGTTCATATGATAATAATTGGTTAAAACTATTACTTGGTTAATTTTAGGAGTGATGAGTTGAATATTCTAATCTGCTAAATACATTATATTGAGAAATGAATATTATCACGGGAATGAAATTTCATTAAAATCCCTTTTGTTAATTCACCCACTAAATTGTTACACAGAAGTGTTAAGGAATTTAGGATAATTTGATTTTGTATTTTTTACTGTCTTAATAAAATTACCGCGGGAGCGGAATTAATTTAAGATAGTGTAATCAACTAAGTCGTGGGAACGATTAGAAGATTACCATTTGTAAATCTTTCACACACCTAAAAGTAACTAAGTTAATTAGTTAAATCTTTATTATTATGAACATCAAAATAAAATTACTCTTAGCCCAAGCCTAATTTTCTCTATATCATTAATTGTTAAATTACCAAGTATTGTGATTTATTTTACTCTCTTAGCAATTTCGCATTAACAAAAACAAGTTAAAAAAATCTATTCACTTAGCTCCATTGCAAAATGTTATCAATTTGTGATTAGCTAAAAATCAATCATTAATTCTAGTTCTCTTTTTGAGTCATTCTCTAGCGGAACGATACTCACTTACTCTATACTATATCGTTACAAGCCAATTAAAACATCATTTCCATTCACATTTTTACACCATTTCACACTACACATTTTGGCATGTCACGATTTTGGCGCTGTTGCCGGGGAATGGCATAGTGTTATTGATTGATTATTAGTTAATATTAGTGTTTGTTATTATTTATCTGGAGACTGAGTATTTTTTTTACCTGTTCTCATCACTTTCGTAAAAAAGAAACAAAAAGAAAATCATTTTTCGTGCACTAAAAAAAACTCTTAAAAAAGTGTATGCATACTCGCTCTCAAGGGAGTGAAGGATTGCAACCCCTTAACCTTGATTTTGAAAAAGAATTAAGGAAAAGAAGAAAAGCACGAACCCTTGAACTTAAAATTCCAGATCTGATCATGGAGGATTTTCAAAACAACCCCAATAATCTAAATGGCCAAAACCTAATTCCAAATCCAAATC